GTCAGCTGGGGACGCAACAGACATACAATACACCTCCTACATGGAGTGAGATTGATACACAGTTGAATACTGTGGAACAAGGTATCAACAAAGAAACAGTTTACAACAGGTAACATCAAGTATTGTATCAACAAGAGTAGAAGGAGGGAGGGCAGGGAAGCCAGGAAAATGATTGCGAACAAAATTGCGGACTTGCAAATATCTAAAGAAATGAGTGCGCTGCAAATTGAAAGCTTGAGTTAGCTGGTCGAAGGAAGCAAATATGCCACTGATGTAAAGCTGTTTTATTGAAACAATCCCTAGGTCTTTCCAGATCAAAAAAGCCCTGTCAATGACTGATGGAGTAAACAGAGGGTTAGAATGTACTGGGGCAGAGACAGGTGTTATCTGTAGCCCAAAGTGCCGCCTGAACTGATTCCAGATTTTAAGGCAGCTTTTCACTACAACACTCCTGGAGTGTGAAGTTGGTGACGATGTTGGGGGGAGGCACAGCAGGGACAACAGAGAAGAGGGACTACATGTCATCCATAGTTACTGTTGTAACAAGGGTAACTCTTCTTACTGTAGCTTGCCACTAAGACATCCTGTTTTAACTTGTATGGTGATACAGTGATTACAATGCGGATTCCGTCCTGGTCGTGGAACGACGGATCAGCTTTTTACTCTCGCAAGGATCCTGGAGGGGGCCTGGGAGTACGCTTATCCGGTCTACATGTGTTTTGTAGACTTGGAGAAGGCGTATGACCGGGTTCCCAGGGAGTTACTGTGGGAGGTGCTGCGGGAGTATGGGGTGAGGGGGTCTCTACTCAGGGCCATCCAATCTCTGTACTCCCAAAGCGAGAGCTGTGTCCGGGTTCTCGGCAGTAAGTCTGACCCATTTCCGGTGAGGGTTGGCCTGGGCCAGGGCTGCGCTTTGTCACCAATCCTGTTTGTATGAGTCCTTACCCCAAGTGAAGGAGTTCAAGTATCTCGGGGTCTTGTTCTCGAGTGAGGGAACAATGGAGCGTGAGATGGGCCGGAGAATCGGAGCAGCGGGAGCGGTACTGCAGTCGCTTTACCGCACCGTTGTGACGAAAAGGGAGCTGAGCCAGAAGGCAAAGCTCTCTGTCTACCGGGCCATTTTCGTTCCTACCCTCATCTATGGTCATGAAGGATGGGTCATGACCGAAAGAACGAGATTGCGGATACAAGCGGCCGAGATGTGTTTTCTCCGCAGGGTGGCTGGTGTCTCCCTTAGGGATAAGGTGAGAAGTTCGGTCATCTGGGAGGGACTCGGAGTTGAGCCGCTCCTCCTTCGCGTCGAAAGGAGCCAGTTGAGGTGGTTCGGGCACCTAGTTAGGATGCCACCTGGGCCAACACATCCTCACTCCCTGGTCGGCCTATGTTGACGTTATGTCAAGTCCCCTGTGTCGGCTTTTTCCAACGCAAGGGGGGGCCCTTAGCGTACATTTTCAACTTTCCGGGATGTCCATAGGCTTCTATATAGCTCCCTAAACGTATGTTGTAGACGACTTGAGATCGCGAGCGAATGCTACCCGCAGATCCATTCTCACAGCGTTTATCAACCTTTGTCTTACTCAATATCAAGCCACACTTATTGTTTTTACTTCTTTATTTTAATTGAATAATGTAGGACTTTTGTTGCCGTCAGTTATGGGGAGAGTAGGGGCTCAGAAAACTGAAATCTGTATCAGTATCTGTATTAATGGACGTGCCGTTGTGCGATTGCGTTGCCAACGCAATAATTTACAAACTCTTCAACTACAACCCTAATTATATTTTAAAACATTTTAGAAGGCCTCACAAAATACTTTAATGTACATTTAAATTTAAATGTGAAGGGATGTGTGCAATGTGGTGATTACATTATTCACCCACGGATCTATGGGTTGGGGTATTGTTCCGCACGGACATTTTAGTTAACCGGACTTCCTGTTGATGTGAAATACGAAAACATTTTTTTTAAATAAAATGATACTTTATTCCGAGTCTGCTTGCTTTTCTCTTTGAAAGTCATCACATAACGGCATTGTAATACACGGTTCGGCTGCATTAAATATTACATATCTGCCGTAGTTCTCTATTTATAGAGCCCTGGTGAGAAGACTTCTAGACAAACAGGAACAACTGCCGCCGAAACTGAATATGTAACGTGGATCATAAATATATCAACAATCAAACAAAATCTTCCATTTCTCTTCACACAATACGTCTCCTTGCAGTATCAACACTAATTCGGCTGACTTTGATATGTGATCCAATTGGTTGATAGGCTATATTTACACCATAAGGGTGCACAGCTGATAGAAAGGGACACCTGGTGGTTAAAGCACGTTATTGAAATGTATTATTTTTATTATTAGATATTAATAGGAGACACAGACAGACAAACTAATAAGGCTTTATTTAAACATTAAAGAATACTTTAGGTTAAGGTCTTATTTTGAATAAGAAAAAAGCTTTGGGGGTATAAATATTAAGCCTGACAAAGTACTAATATATTGCTTTCCTGCAATGTTAACTACTGTATGTGTAAGCACTTATTTTAACTGATATTATACATATGTATTATACTCTTATAAGATGTATGTAGATAGTATAAGAAATGTGCAGAATACGACAGTTTAATGGTGGAGGTACACACATATTGATAGATGTCTTGTAATGCACTGTTGAAGAACCTGCGACCTAAGTTTTTCATCTCCGGCCTTGTCAGGTATTGAACAATCAATAAATAAAGAACACAGAATTATTAAATATAAAACACAGAATTTGTGTGATTATACTAAATGATTTACAAATAAACACCACTGCATATTTACAACCGTTACACATGCTGATGTAACGCAAATGTTTCCAACTTGGGATCAATAAAGTATATCTTATCTTAAGATGATCGATTTGCAAAATGTGCCTCTGAACCTTGACAAGTGCATGTTTCAGGCTTATCAATTAATGTAATGTAATGTAATGTTATCAATGAACAACAGGAGGGGTCACAGACATAAGACCAGCCGTTAAATAAAGCTCTTCTGACATTAGCTGGCATTAATGCTGCCCATTATGGGCACAAGCAATTTTCACCCATTTATTAATTATATGTTTTAAATGTGAGTGTTTCCTATCCCCTAAACCTCCAGGGATGTACACAGTTTAAAACTGGCAACTTCTTATTATGGGAAATACGAAAACGTCTTTTAAAACTACAACTCCCAGTAGAGACCTGCCATAGATAGAGAGCATGTTGCGAAACACACAATAGCCAGCATGTGTAGTTCTGGGGACGGGGTGGGGGAGGGGGGGACGCGGTGGACCCGTTCAATTTTGGACAGTCTGCCGTGGTTCCATCCCATTTCAAGTGCTGTTCGACGCTCGGCACACTCTCCAATCACAGAGCTTGAGGACTATCACGGGGTTTGTTAAGCGAAGCGGAGAGAATACTTACTTCCGGGTGTACAATTCTCTAAAGCAACTACTATGAGCTGCTCCGACCCTCGGTCCTGACGGACTCAACTTGTGTTTATTAATCAAACAAATAAATAAACACAAGGATAATTGTGTGTTATTGTTGAGTAAATAACAGTGTGTGGTTTAGAAAAGAATACAACATTAGAAGGAAAAAACGATGAAACAATACAGATTTCAGTTTTCTGAGCCCCTACTCTCCCCATAACTGACGGCAACAAAAGTCCTACATTATTCAATTAAAATAAAGAAGTAAAAACAATAAGTGTGGCTTGATATTGAGTAAGAAAAAGGTTGATAAGCGCTGTGAGAATGGATCAGCGGGTAGCATTCGCTCGCGATCTCAAGTCGTCTACAACATACGTTTAAGGAGCTATATAGAAGCCTATGGACATCCCGGAAAGTTGAAAATGTACGCTAAGGGCCACCCCCTTGCGTTGGAAAAAGCCGACACAGGGGACTTGACATAACGTCAACATAGGCCGACCTGGGAGTGAGGATGTGTTGCCTGGGCGCCTCCCTAGGGAGGTGTTCCAGGCACGTCCAGCTGGGAAGAGACCAAGGGGTAGACCTAGGACCAGGTGGAGGGATTATATCTCTTCGCTGGCCTGGGAGCGCCTTGGGATCCCCCAGTCAGAGCTGGTTGATGTGGCCAGGGAAAACAAAGTTTGGGGCTCTCTGCTGGAACTGCTACCCCCGCAACCCGACCACGGATAAGCGGGAGAAGATGGATGGATGGATGGATGGATGGTGATACAGTGATTGCATGTGTTTACGTTTAAGGAATAGTTCAACCTATTTCATTTTCAAAAGGTTATCAATGTCATTAGAATAAAGCTGGTGTCATGACGTAAAATCGGGGGGAAACAGCTAGCCTGGCTCTTTCCAAAGTTCCAAAAATACGCCGACCAACACGAGGACTGAGGTTATTATGCCCTAAGACATTTGGATTATTCATTTCAAAAGATATGTGGGTATTTTACATGTTGATTGCATTCATCCTAGATGTGTCCATCATTATATAAGTTAATTAAGGAGCTGGGTACATATATTGGTGCCTTGACAATTTGACTTTAAGTAAGAAAGACCTGTTCTGAACATGATTGTTTAAATGTATTTAAAAAATATCAAAATGCTCAGTACATCCATGTTTGGAAAAATGTCTCATACAAATAAAGTAAAAATGTATCACTATGTTCAGAGACAGCATCATGGGATATACATTTATATTTGACAGATTGCATGACATGTATTCAAAAAATGAAGGGGTTTTTGCATTGTGGAGGCCCTTGCACTCATGTCCCCAATATTTATAAAACTTTGGGTGTTGCCATGGTAACTAACAGCCACTCACTGACACGAGACTTGCCAGAAATAAGGAGGTTGTGCCTTTGATGTGTGATTCTGAGGTCATGCACGGTAACAGAGGTGTCAAAATCTGCATGAGCTCCGTGGCCCCGCCTCCATGAGCGCAGCTTCCCCCCCACCTCCTCCCTCCCCCCGGCCGGCTCACTGCAGTAGAGGCGCTCACTCTGCAGAGTGGATGTGAGTGGATCTCTGCCTGTGCAAAGGAAAAGACAGAAACACCTCAGTCACTCTCCACTGGACATCCTCGCCTCTGGACGCACTTTTACGCGCGGCTCCAAGATATAAACAAGCTGCACCATCCGATTTAACATCATCAGGATCGTTTTACTCTGATGTAGGCCTATGTTGTAACATCGAGAAGCCATTTGTCTTTCTGTCCTTTATGCTTCGGGATTTCCATCTGCAAAGTCTCCAGAAAGTGATGAGTCGTGGCAAACCGGGGAGTATGATCTCTGCGTAAACTTATTTTTTGTTTATCCGAACCAAACCCTCCGTTAGAAATGCAGATCCTGCTGTACACCGCTGTGCTCCTGTACCTCCAGGAGCGTGCCAGCGCAGAGCCAAAAGCCAAGTGTCCCACGCGCTGCGATGTGAGTACCTGTCCGAGTCCTAGCTGCCCCAGCGGCTACGTGCCCGATCGCTGCAACTGCTGCCTGGTGTGCGCGCAGGCCGAGCTGGAGCCGTGCGGCCGCAAGGAGGACCTGCCCTGCGGGGACGGGCTGGAGTGCAAAAAGCCCAACAGCAAGCGGCTCTCCAAGGGATTCTGCCGGTGCAAGTTCAGGAACGACGTGTGTGGCAGCGACGGGAAGTCGTACGGCAACGTGTGCCAGCTGAAGGCCACCAGCAGGAAGGCTCTGCAGCAGGGACATCCGGGCATCACCCAGATCCAGAAGGGACCGTGTGAGAACAGCACAGGTATGATTCATGCGTTAAGGCTTTATTTGGTAAACAGAAGCACTTAACAGGTTTGATTGATTATTAATAGCGCCTGAAGAAGAGCCCTTTTTAAAACTACTTATAATTTTAAGTGATGTTGGAAGTTCAAGTAAGTAGGCCTACACGGAGTTTGAACTGGCGGAATACAGATGGGTAAACACAGTCACATTTGTACATAATTCGTCCTCAAGAAAGCACTGACAAGTTTCTAAGAAGAAATTAAATGGATACATATAGAACATCTGTATAGATCCTTACAGAATGTTTTATGTTACGTATGCGTACAAAAAATAATATCTGGTCTTACTATCAAGCTAACACATGCAGGTCTGAACAATGTAAGTGCATTACATGTTACATGTTTTATCCAAAGCGACTTACATACTCAACACTGTGGGCAATCCCCACAGCAGCAATTTGGGGTGAAGTGTCTCAGGGACACAACGACATGCTGACTGCAGTGGGGCTTGAACCTGTGCTCCCCTGATCCGAACACCAACGCACTAGTCCTCTGCCCCACACGCCTCCCGCAATAAACTTGCATTCTCTCTAATAGGCAACCAGCAAGTCCACTGGTTGAAAAAAGAAGTAGGATTGTATATGAGAAACAGTTCTCTCTTGATAAGAGATGACCTTAGGAAATATTTTCCTAATGAGGTTGTTCTTAATTGCCCATTTAAATTCTTCTCCAATAATTGAAACTTTTTCAATTTAAAAAGTACTATTTCACATTCAATTGTACTTAGCTCCAGCCTATTGTGTCACTTCTTGTTCCAAAAGCACCAAGATAGTGACGGACAAAAGAACAACATGGCTACAGCCAAAAATAACAAACTCGAGACAAATTGAATTCACTAAACAGTGGGTGACGTCCAGCAGTCTGCTGCTTCAGTATATCAAGTTGACTCATCAGGAGAGTTTGGCCCTACCTAAAGAGAGCAGTGCCCTTTTGATATTCTCAACTCCTCCACATTAATAAGAGCCGGATTAACGGTCACCCAAGTAATGGGTCATAGCTCCAATGAACACTGGTTTAGGGCGAGGTGCAGGTTTTAAAGCCTGTTAAAGCACATCATGAGCAGTTGTTTGGAACATAGCAGACAGTGAGAATTAACCACACCTATGGTAAAAGTTGTTATTCTTTCCTTCAGACTGGCCTAGATAATTCCTCGACCCAAACCCAGAGTCAGTGGCGGGCCTAAGATATTCTAAAAAATTATATTTGAAAACGTTTTATTTTTACCAAAATAACTTGATTTAATTGTATTTAAAATAATATTTCCAAAGAAATAAATCCTTCGAATCTGCCTGTTCAGTTTCTGTTGGAATGTGAAGGGTTAAATGCCGTCTCTGCGAGTTATGTGAAGACGGGAGAGCTTGTTGGTCCCTCTCTACATTCACAGAGGGCCAGCTATAGTAACTCAATGAGAGAGTAATGTCAAATGACAGTACAATTGACCAATCATATCTTCCCTCTAAATGGGCGGGCTTTCTTTTCGCGTCCTTTATGACAAGTTCCGCCCACTGTGAGGTTTATAGAGTGGCGAAGTCCCTCACCTTCCGGTGAAACTCCATTGGACCTTATTTCGAAAAAATGATGTATTTAAGTCAATGGAGAGAGAAAGATTATCTTTCGATCCCGTTTGAATTGTGCCACGAATTACACATATGATGTTTGTCAATTTAAAAGATAATTTTGCAAGCCAAACAAATTAAAATGTGTCGTAAAATTGTGAAGTAACAAATGTGTTTGTGTGAAACACTCAATGAACTACATCTCTGGTCTCGCAGAACAACACACGTCACCAAGATGGCCGTCACTACTGTCTTGTCAACAAAAGGATTGACTACCCTCACTATCACCACAATGAAACACGTCCAGAAGAATGTCAAGCAAAGCTGCCTGCCTGCCTTCCTTTGATTCTCTCTGAACTGCCTGGTCTTTTTAATGTTTAATGTCAACCATTTGTGCAGATAGCATGAAGTAGAAAAGATCGCAGATGCTAATGTAGCGTTAGCATTTCTCCCCCGGGCTTAAATGGTGTATTATAGAATGATCACACCGGTGACAGTACTCTTCAAAGGGTTCACGAAATATGACTACTACTCTTACTGTTTAACACTTTGGGTTACTTAATGTTACTTCATGTTAAGGCTAATACAAATGACAAGGCTGTAATGCTAACTAACGTGCTAGCTACTAGCTAGGTAGCTAACTTGATCCAGCCACTCCTGGTCCTTTCATCAGACGGGAAGCGAAAGAACGAGCAAGACCCATTGCTGGTATGATAACAACCTGGTACTAAACACACAGGCATCTTGTTAAAGTTATCTTATCTTATCCAGCGCCATATAGATAGATTCTGTCTATATGGCGCTGATCTTAGCTATCTCTCAGTGGAGGAAAACAATTGTGACAACACTTACTCACTCTGGGATTTGTAGTCTTTCTAGTTGCGTATTTTTCATAGTCTTATATTTCAACAGTTTTACGACAAACTGACTTTTTTGACATGGAAATGATTTTTTAAGATTGACAAACATCATATGTGTAATTCATGGCACAATTCAAACGGGATCGAAAGATACGTTTTCTCTCTCCATTGACTTCAATACATTATTTTTCCGAAATAAGGTGGGCGTGACTTCGCCACTCTATACATGAGGTGCAGTGACTCGTCCTAAAACCCGGAAGTAAGCTGCGCTCGGGTTCCCTCGACAGAAAGCAATGGGATGTCTCCACAGGGTTTTAGAAAATAGCTGGAAATAAGGTCTGTGGAAAACGAACCTGTTAGATAAATGCACGTTTTGTTCAGCCGGATAATCTCCACATGTCTACTTCTATTATTTTCTAATCATAAATCTAATCGATAGATTTATGATGGATAGATTTATGATGGATAGATTTATGATTAGCATAAGTTCGTTCATGATGGCTCATGTCAGTGATAGTGATGACATTGTTGCAAAATTAATAACCGAGTTAATCAGAGGGTTTAAAAGAGTTCATGTGCAGGCCTCGCTCTGTAAACAGTGTTTCTGTCGGAGTGGAGCTGCTTCATGAAAGGATGTGAGGAGATTATATCTCAGCAGATGTGTGGTAGTGGGGATTTCTATGGAGTCAGATTTGGGTCAATATTCTAGCGCGTAAAACAAGCTACTCACGAGCGGAAAATGTGCTTTTACACGCGCATAAAATGACCCTTGCGCGCAGATTAAACCCCCGCGAGCGGCTCTGCGCCCTCTTGCTTGCTCGCGGGAGTGTCAGCCTCGCGGAGTCTGTCTACGCGCGCGTGAAAAGTTTCTGGCACTTTGGGGCGGAGCCACTGGACTTTGATTGACAGCTGCCAGGAAACCCGGGGTTGCCAGGTTTGATAAATGCCTGAACTACCAAGAGCCGAGCAGTGACGGCAGCAAAATCTAGGTGCGTACAGCAGACAGTAGCTAGCAGTTTTCGACGGACACAGCCCACTGAAAAATATATTGTTTTATATCAAATTAATGTATATTACATTACATTACATTGCATTTAGCTGACGCTTGTATCCAAAGCGACTTACAATAAGTACATTCGACCAGGAAGACACAACCTTGAAGAAAACAGAATCATATATATATATATATATATATTAGCTGTACACTTTACGAATATAATAGTTTTTTATGGACAACTTTACCATTAAATCTCGTCCAACTGATTTTGCTGCCGCCCCAAAGTGCCAGAAACTTTTCACGCGCGCATAGACAGACTCCGCGAGGCTGACACTCCTGCGAGCAAGCAAGAGGGCTGTCTCTCTCGCGAGCGAGCGCAGAGCCGCTCGCGGGGGTTTAATCTGCGCGTGAGGGTCATTTTATGCGCGTGTAAAAGCACATTTTCCGCTCGTGAGTAGCTTGTTTTACGCGCGAGAATATTGACCCAAATCTGACTCCATAATTTCCTCTACAAACTGCAGGGTTCACAGAGACTGAGCAGTAGATCTAGATTTGAGATTTGTAGCCATACAGCAGTGTATAAAGGGATGAATCTTATGATCTGCTCACTTTTATAGCTCCACCAAGAGGTCAACGTTTTAATTTATGCTGTGAAATATCTCATGTATGGAACCATAGTTTGGTACAAGTTTTGCATAGATGTTCATGGTTCTCAGACGATGAGTTCCACTGACTTTAGCAATACTAAAATAAAAATGTCTCTAGTGCCTACATCAAGTCAAAATATCAGTTATGACCAAAAGTGAAAATCCTATAGCGTCAGTTTTACTTTGGGTTTAGTGCTCATGTGGAAAAGTTGGCATTCTACCACTAATCCCCACCATTTTTACTTTGACTTCACCTTACCTATTGAAAGTCCTAAACAAAATGTACTCATCATTTAAAAGTAGCTTATTTATCTGAGCTGTGAGATCTTCAAGACATGTGACAACTAGTAAGGATGTTGTCAACCTGATAGACGGCAGAATTCCCACTCAGTTTGCTGTCATTCAGGAAGAAGTCGGTTTGGGATGTAGCTTGAAATAACGTTTTTATTGGTTCCTTCAACCAATGCTTCAAAGTCAGTATCAGAGATCCTTCCATTTACTTATTTGCTCCATTGCTTTTCAGTCATGTGGAGGAGCCATCTGAGCACTGAGATGACTCTGTGCCAAGTGAATACTCAGCTACAGTAGAGTGTAAATAAATTGTCATCTAGCGCTCAGAGAGTGGACCTCTGCTGAGGCCAATGGTGCATTCCAATGCTGCTGGAATCGTCCCAATTTCTTCCCGAGTTGGGAAGTCATTATTCCTTCTTCAGTGTGTTCACAAGCTTAAATCATAATATGGAAACAAAATCTACGCTACAAAGAACATGTGTGTTATCTTATCTCAGAGATTATAAACATTAATTTGATGTCTGTTTTTGAGTTCTTCTGGCTTGAGGGGTCCTTTATGTGAATCTTCCTAATTGGAAAATCTTTGATTATTGAATTATTCTGACCCCATAGGCGCGTTCACACCACAGTACTTTTCCCACTTTAGTTCCGATATAGTTCCGAAATGTTGCGTTCACACCAAAAAAATCCTGAACCAAAATTAGTTCATGAGAACTTTTTTACCCCCTTTTAAACTAATGATTAATTAATTAATAATTCATTTTCAACTAACCCTGCTAGAGAGCAGGTACTTTCGTGGGAGAAAAAGGTTCCTATTTCGATGGGCTGGGCGGATTGCAAACCACGCCCCGTAAAACTCAGAAAAGTTTTGTGAAGCCGCCATTTTATTATCCTCGGCATTAGCATTATTAGCATTAGCATTAGCCCAGCGCACAAACGGAGAGAGACTAATTTATGGCAACACAAAATAAAACATGGGAGCGGTGGAGATGAGGAGGTGTTGGTGTTCTGGCGATTTACTCGGAAGGCTTCAGTAGAAGCTGCTGGGAGTCCCAGCAGCTTCTACTGAAGCCAGTCCCCAACTTCCGGCCGGGGACTTCGGGTGGCAGTATACGCCGTGAAGTTGTTTGTGGCCTGCCAGTAAACCCAAAGCAGAAGAAGAAGAAGTGACGTCAGTGGCTTCATTTGCCCAGGGACTTATTCCGGTGTGAACGCGATCTGTACTTAGTTCATGAGAACTAAAGAGTTCTCATGAACTAAGTTCTGATGAACCTTTGTGGGAACAGTACTGCGGTGTGAAAGCGCCTCATGTCAAAACAGCAAAAATCTTGCAATATTAACAAAAGTTAAAGCACACCAGGTCTCTGAATTTGTTCATCTGCCTGTGATTTGGATCCACTCCAAAATTAAATGGCTTCTTCCCTAGCCCATTATTCACCATAACACCAAGTTTCATGAAAATCGGGCCAGCAGTTTTCCGTAATCCTGACAGACAAAAACAGAACTTTCTTGGCGGAGGAAATACAAAGTGATCATGATGGCAGACACATACAAGCACACACTTGGCTTGTATCTTGTGGAACAATGCCAGCATCTGCTGTTTTATAGTCCTTCTCCTATCCTCATTCTCGTACATGTTTCTCATTTCCTCTGTCACACTGAGTAAGATGCTCCTGCCTGCAGTTCCCAGCTATTTATTAGACTACTGTCTCCATTAAAAACCAACCGGGAAGAAAAGTTAATGGCCGTTTTATAATTACACGTACTTCCCTACATGCTGTTTTACTCTCTTCATATGTCCTGAATTCTCCTCATCTCTGTGCAATCTGAACTTTCCATGTGGTAAACTGGTAAAAGTAGAGCATGACCACTGCCTGGAGGAAATACAGCCAAACGCATTACCACAATGTTCCAAACAAAGGTAGACCATCAGTTTCAGCCTCATCTCCTCCAGATATTAGGTTCACTTTATTTTAGTTCAAAACAAATTATATCATTATTACCCAATTCTGGCATGGCTTTACAAAAGGTCACTGAGCGTCCAAAATAGAAAGGCCTTTGTTGGTGGGGGTGCATGCATGTGCCCAATAAATTACATGGAAAACATTCCATTAGTTTAACATATTTTTGAAGAAACATTTGCCTGTTGCTGATGTTTAAAGAATGATTAAGGGTCAACAAATATTTGGAATCATCCTTTTAACAAAAGCACATACAGTAAAAGCATATGTCCTGCCAGTCTGAGCAGTGGCTGATGGGATATGTTGTGTTGGACAGGCAGACAGAGTGGCCAGTGCTGATTAGTGAACCAGATTTCCCTACTGACTGCTACAATCATCAAGAAATCCCCCCTCAGGAGGCTACAATAATCTGAAACACACACACACACACACACACACACACACACACACACACACACACACACACACACACACACACACACACACACACACACACACACACACACACACACACACACACACACACACACACACACACACACACACACACACACACACACACACACACACACACACACACACACACACACACAGATATGAGCTGAGGAAACAGGAAGTCCCTGCAGGCTACAGTTGTGGCAGACTCTATTTACATTTCTCTTTGATCCCAAACCTTTTATTTTGTCTGGGTTTAAACTTTAAACATCACTGGAGTATTACATTCCTACGGGCGTGGTGAACTCAAAAAGATATGGATGACTGACCGGCAAGTCTCAAATGATTGAGGATGAGTGACTTGGGAGTTTCTGAGTGCTGAGGGGGCTGCAGCAGCCCCATCTGCGAGGCTCCACTAGCACCTGCATCCCCCCCCCACACCCCCAAACGCGGCACACCTACAGTGTAAGCGCGCCACAGTTTCGCCGCTAAAAGAGTGTGTGTGTGTGTGAGGAGCTCCACGGATTGGTCCATTTGGACCAATGGGTCCATTTGGGTATGGGCACGTCACCATACCCAGGAAGTAAACAATGGAAAAAGAAAAATCTCCAATGAGGCGTTCTGGGGCAGCACAGACGGGTCTTTTCTGTGTTAGAGTTTTTCTCGCTACAGGGTGTACTTTGAGGGTTTGTGACTCTGCAGACCGTTTACATGCAGAAAAACCTTCATAACACAGAAGGGGACGGGTAATAAGCGGAAAAGCATGACATGGGACCTTTAATGTTAGGGCAGTGGGGCAGAGAGGACAGTTTGAGGGCATATTTCAGGAATGAAATCAGGAAGCTCAGAGAAAAAGGATTTACGAGCCAACAACAGAGACTGTTAAGTATGGCACACTTAGCCCAGTGTATATCCTAATGGGTAAATTACAATACACAATAAAACAGTGGTAATTACCATTGATCCAAATGTACTCACTATTTTAAAAAGCTGCTCATAAAAAGTGGTGTCAGTGGTTCTGCTTTTCCATAGTTTATTTAGTACTATGAGTTTCACAACTGTTTACCCAGTATTGTTTTGGAGTGCCCCAGGGATCCATCATAGATCCCATATTGTTTTCTATTTATATTATATAAAGCCTAAACTCACATCATTGGCCTAACCCATATTCTCCCAAAATCATGTGTAGATGATACCCAGGTTTACCTTTCTTTTAACCCTAACCACATATGGATATTGACTGGTTATTAAAATACATAATTATTCTTGCCAGTATAGGTAATCCAAATGCTGCCAGTCCTCGTTACAAGTTCAACTTCATAGCCGACGTGGTGGAGAAAATCGCTCCTGCTGTGGTCCACATCGAACTCTTTCTCAGGTACTAACTGTGTGCATGTGTGTGATGATACATTTAAAAGGTACACTTTTAGAATCCATAACAAAAAACGTTGCCATTATGATTAAGCGAAGGAGTTTCATATGGTAGATGTAATATCCTATTTCTAGTGGGGCTTACTCTGGTCCACATATGGAGACACTTTATATAATGTCCAGAGAGTCATGATTAGTATGTAATGTATTACCTTGAAATACAAGTTATTCTCTTCTAAAATGTTGTTAAAATAAAACAAAAATGTTATCTATTTATTATCCTAAGCGTTAAACTTCAGATAATGGGATTACCAATATTTGAGCACTTAATTTTATGAAGCTAGTTCAGCCAACTTGTTGTTATCGTACCCCAGGCATCCTCTCTTTGGGCGGAACATCCCTCTGTCTAGTGGATCTGGGTTTTTGATGTCAGAAAACGGACTGATTGTAAGCAATGCACACGTAGTCTCCAGCACTACACCAGTGTCCGGTCAACAGCACCTCAAGGTACTGAAATGCTGTTTAATCATTTGTACTTCATTTTAAATACTATACTACATCATTCAACTATACAAGTTGCAGAAAATGAACAACAAACAGTTATATTGTACCCTAAACAAAGCCAACTTATTACAAATGGATGAAACCAAATCCTGTCATATGCTATGAATTATTTTTTGTATTTAATATGGTTATTCCTTCCATTCTTTCTGAAGGTCCAGATGCAAAATGGGGATGTATATGAAGCCAACATCAAAGACATTGACAAAAAGTCAGACATCGCTACAATCAAAATCAATTCACAGGTGAGTGTATGACTTTATGAGATTTCCTTAAAAAGCAATACAAAAGAACTGCGGCCAGTTGGAGGAAGACCATTCTAGTCAAATAACCTTTCACAAAAACAGTACTTAAAGTAAAGTTGGTCAATGCAAATTAAGTGGTCCTGCAAAGATATGCATCTTTCATTTAAACTTTCAAGTGATGGGTCACATTTCCATCTCCAGTACTGGAAGACAAGATTGCCCAAATGTTTTATATTTTCTTCTGGCATGCTAAGCCTAACTCAGATAAAAGTTCCAAACCAGATGTGCTTTAGATCAACATCTAGTGTACAACTGAAGTAGATTTGGGAAAACTCAAATATAAAGTAAAATTCTCAATTCCAGGTGGGCCCTTGAGTTGTCCAATGTCATGTCCATTAGATGAAGAGGTGAACTACATTTCACATCGGACTGTGTTGAAAGGTCCATCCATCCATTAGCCTAGTGCTCGCATTCATACCTACAGCCATTCTTTGGAGCTGCACATTTGTCTTTGTGACATTTTGTTGGACTGCTGGAGGAAACCGGTGCAGACTCCACACAGAAAGGATCCAGCATTGAATTCAATACATATTTATTAAGAATTAAGGAAAGTACTGGGAACAGTAATTTGTCTAATCCCAGAGAACACCCACATGTATAAAACAAGTGACACATTCTTGGAGTGTGTTTTAGTTTAATGCTTTATGGAAGTGTTCTTGATGTGTGTACACAATTTTATAAAATCCAGCCATTATTGAGTGCCTGTCAGATTGCTACTAGAATTGTAATGACCTTACGTAATAACCTGTTGTTTTAAAAAGGCCTGGTCAAGTTTTGCAAGAATACTAATAATTATTTAATTTCGCAGAGGTTTACTTATTGAGATGAATTCCTTGTTACTGTTGGTTTTAGGCTGCATTACCTGTTGCAATATCACTGCCTAATCTTTTTTTGCTAACGTTTGCCACCATAATCTAGTGGACTGTAGACTGTAGAAGCAGCCCTGGTGTTGACCACTAGTGGTGCTGTTGAGCAGTGTTTTTATGAGCTGGTCATCAAACATTCTTGACGTTCTTCAAATATGGCTCCAAGGACCTTTATGCCACCAACAGCAGAGGGTAGAGGGTTGTAGCATCAATAAAAGAGAACACATATGCTATAAAGCAAGTTTAAAAACCAATTAAAAACATAAGGTAAATGTTTATTTGAGATAGAAAATGCTTCCAACGTGTCTGTAAAGCCTTAGGATAAACTTTAGACATAAACAACACAGTTTCTGTTTACAATGATGACTCAGAGTAGCGTTGGTCCGCTCGCCCCATGGCCTCCGTTAGCACTCCCTGCAGTTAATCTCCAGCAGGGTAATTCATCAAGGCATTTCTTCAAGGTCAGCACTATTAGTGTGTGTGTGTGTGTGTGTGTGTGTGTGTGTGTGTGTGTGTGTGTGTGTGTGTGTGTGTGTGTGTGTGTGTGTGTGTGTGTGTGTGTGTGTGTGTGTGTGTGTGTGTGTGTGTGTGTGTGTGTGTGTGTGTGTGTGTGTGTGTGTGTGTGTGTGTGTGTGTGTGTGTGTGTGTGTGTGTGTGTGTGTGTGTGTGTGTGTGTGTGTGTGTGTCATGTGTCCAGGATCACAGTGGTGTTAACACTGAAGGGTGGGGTCACACCAGAACTCAAACCTCCCCTGGGGTGACCCCAAATACTTCCAGCTTGAGACATCCACAGTGCTTACCAGCAAAGGGATTATACTGTAGGGGAATGTTCTCAGTGTGACACTCTTACGTAAATTCCCACCTGGCGTTTTAGTAGTTTGTTGTTTTACCGGGCAGAACTTCAACACAGTTGATAAGCCTGGCATCTGTTATCTATTCAGCCAAATTTCAATAATATTTTTGACGATAAAATCTAGCTTCTTCAAACCCGAGATCAAGGTCTGTGCATGCATCATGCAAATGGTTAGTATTAGGCTATAACACTATTAGATTAAGGTTTTGGTTTGAATGGAAATACTAAATCCCCCCTCCAGTAAACCAGATTTGCTGTCACGACCTGAGAAAGTTTAGATTGCTCTTTGTCCTTCTCCCACTATCATTCAAAGTTTTGCGAGAATTGGAATGCCTTCCATCTCTATCAACTCGTCAAATACTAGTGCAGTGGAACTACAAGTCAAATGATGACGCTCCATTCTCCAATCACACTAGAATCAGTTTTACACTAACAGGGCTACCTCTAGTTGTTGTGGTAAATTATGATGGGAGTAAAGGAGGACATCAGGTGATGTAATATAACAATTGTGGCAGAGTTGCTTGGACACAGGACAATCACCCAGGAGAAAACCGTTTGTGTCCCATGTGAAACAAACAAGTAAACATTGACTTATTTGAACTTGTGTCCCACACTTACTCAACTTATGTAAGTAACCTATGTTACATTATCAAACCATGATTGTAAACCTAGAGTCATTACAGATAAGAAGAAGAAGAAAGCATATCTTGACAGACAGTTATCCTTTCATAGCAGAGCTGGGGATCTTGAGATTACGGAGGTGCTAGAGTTGAGTTTGCAACTAAAAATGTGTTTAAGAAGTCCTTTGTACTGAAGGACTTACATTTGAGTAACTCAATCCAGTAGGTCCTGATCAAGCCCTGATAATGAAGAGTTGAGAGAGGGAATGTGTTTCAAGATATCCACATTGTAGATGCCTTTTTTTGCATGTGTGGAAACGTTCTCTAGAAATTAAACAAATTGCTGTGGGTTGAAACAATATTTTGCCACACAAGATGTGTTTGTTGAGATGAAGAAATCAAAAGGCAGGTCATTCAATGGACGAATATCTGATTTCCAAAAACAATCTCAAGTGAACCTCAGTTGACATCTTTGCGTTAGAACTGAGAGAGCTGGACCAGGATCAAGACAGGGAGGAGTGAGTGGAAGAAACACAATCCAAAGCACTCCACCTTAAAGAAATCCTTTCTGCTCATTCCTTCTCTTACTCAGGGTTACTCAGTCTGTCTGCTGACCATGTGTTTCTACTCAGCTCCATTCTTTTACTCCCTTTTCTCTTTGACCTCGACCCATATTTCCTTTTTACTTTCTTGTGTATATATATAGTACATTATATAGCTGCATAGTAATATTTCAGTTAATTTATTATTCATAAATGTCCTTTTATTATACTTTGCATTGTATATTTACCCCAGCTGTTATCATCATCATCATCATCATAGGGCTGTGATTTATAGTTTTCCACACTTAGTATCATTTGTCTTCATCGTGGCCTGTTGAAAGTGCTGATTGTTGGTCGTGTTGTGATACCCTTTATTTGCCATACTGGCACACTGTGTTCTTGGAAATGTTTAAACAGCAGTTAAAGCACTCACGTGTCAAAAGCTGAAGTCATGGCAGTTATATTCTTAAAACAGATTTGAACCTTATTTTCCTGAGTGTGCAAAATGTATGAATAAGCTTTTGGCACACGGTTCAAATGGGGTGGATGGTAGATTCATGAGCAAGGGAGCAGCAGAAAAACAAAAAATGTAACATTTGACAAACAGGATCATATTTCTTTACCTTTGCTCTTCTGTCTATAACTTTCTAATTACAAAAACTAACATACACTTTTTATTATCCACCAGTTTTAGAGAAGTGCTCCTTTGGAAACAGTCCAAAAAAAACACAACGATCTAAACACATGGTGCTGAACATTAAAAGTTATTCCCTCTTTAACGCTTTAATGAGTGTCTTTTACATTGCAGTGCAACCTCTGGTTAAATTCAATGTTACACATCCCTTTGTTTAAATTGACAACAGAATGTAACTGGCTAGTTTTGGCTATCAAAAAGGGAATGGCTAATAGTGATTTAGATCATTCCTTGGTCCCTTCTTACTTATTTATATTAGACAAAAGTACAGACGAGGTGCAACAAGAAAGTCTTGAGTTCCTTTTTTCTCACAATGTCAGAGTGGGCTTCCTCCATGTGCTCCAGTTTCATTCCACAGTCCAAAGCAAATAAGGTGAATTGGAAATTTGAAATGGTTTGATACTGCAGTGCTCTCTTACCCTTTGTCTGTTCCTCTTCCCAGAACAAACTGCCTGTATTGTTGCTGGGCCACAGTGCAGACCTGAGGCCCGGGGAGTTTGTCGTTGCCATCGGCAGCCCCTTCGCCCTCCAGAACACCGTCACCACCGGCATCGTCAGCACCGCCCAGAGAGACGGCAAAGAACTGGGCCTCAGGGACTCCGACATGGACTACATCCAGACGGACGCTATTATCAATGTGAGAATATACTGTAGGAAGGCCGAAAACATGTGCTTTGTTTAAAAAATGATTGTTAAGCAGTTCAAAAGGTTGTTAAAAAGTCATATCATGATGTATACTGGATTTTGTGTCTTTCTTTATAGTACGGGAATTCAGGAGGACCCCTTGTCAATTTGGTAAGATTGTTGTTTCTTACCTCAAAGCTTAATTTCTGTAAAATACCTTTCTCTGATATTGCTTGGTTGTTAAACTTGTGAAAATACTGCCAATGTCCGAGTCCTAGCTTTGCGCTGCCCCAAACCGGAACTCTTAATCCTGGATAGCAAACTAAGTAACTTTTTCTACAGTTGTAATACCTGTAACTTGCCTTGAAGAAGAAACAAATCCTAACAAAATTCAAACAGTACAACATTGATGTTTTATTGCTGTGTCTTTTTATTTTTCGAGGACGGGGAGGTGATCGGCATCAACACCTTGAAGGTTGCAGCAGGAATCTCGTTTGCCATTCCCTCCGACAGGATCACTCGCTTCCTCAATGAGTCTCTAGATAAGCACAACAAAGGTGAGCCATGCTAGGATTAAACACCTGTGAGAATCCTGCTGAATATGTAGAAACTAACTGGAGTCTCTTACAGATGTGAGGTCAGTAAAGAAGCGGTTCATTGGGATCAGGATGCTGACCATCACACAAGCGTAAGTCTGAACTGACTAATATGATTGTTTAGTTGGCAAATATGGAAAATAAAGAAGGAAGCGAAGGTGTCCCACAGGGATCTATTTTGGGTCCTCTTTTATTCACATTTACTGATTAGAAAACACCCTAAATTGTAACCCTTACAAACTTTATTTATCTGCTAGAAATGTTCTTTTTATTCTAACTGAATTGGCTGCTTGTCAGCTTGAACTTTATTTTTACAGTGTTTAAAAATACTTAAAACTTTCTTTCTGGTAAAAGTTAGGTTATTTACACATTCTAATAAGAAGCTACTATTGGACCAGAAACTTTATCTAACAAGCCAAACTATTAGGTATGTTTCTTCTTACATATGTTCAGGATATGTTCTCAACAACTCTTTCATATAAACACAATATGTAGTGGCTTGTGAGAAAACTGAAGAGGAAATGTCATTCTTTTTCTAAAGAAGGCCTATCTTAGCCTAATACAAGGTTGGTTTTCCCTATTTGGGATAATAATGTTTACCTAGATAGACTTTCTTTAAGAGACTGTATATATGCTTTTTCCAGGTTAATCGAAGAGCTAAAACTGCAGAACCCAGACTTCCCTAATGTCACCAGTGGGATTTATGTCCATGAGGTTGTTCCTCACTCACCTGCAGAGAAGTAGATCTACATTATTTATGTGTTCCTCAAATAAAAGCAGTGTTACTCATTTCTGAAGTGAAATTAATGCTTTACCTTTTTACAATACTTTCTTTATCATTGTCCTTGTCTCCAGAGGCGGGATCAAAGATGGTGACATCATTGTGAAGCTGAATGGCAAGCCTCTGATGGCCACAGCTGACCTGCAGGGGGCGCTACAGGAAGAAACGGCGCTGCTATTGGAGGTCAGGAGGGACAATGATGACCTGCTCTTTAACATCGAACCTGATGTCATCATGCAGTAGACAACGAAAGCACTGCTCTCTCGCAGAGTTAGAACTACATGTAAGGCCCTATTTTTGCTAATGACATTGGATAGTGGAAGCACTGCAACACAGCAGCTGGACTTCTGTCAAGCAAGTACATCTTTGAATACTGGCTGTGGACTGTACCAAATACAAGGATCCCATGGACCATATGGTGCAATGCTGTTTAGGTATCAAGGATTTACAACTGTGCCTTCCACATGTTTAAACCAGGGTCAACGTGCAACAGGGGCACATATACAGGAATTCATGAACCGGATCCCAGATTTTGTTTTCCACTTTGATCACCAGTAAACACATTTGCTTTACAAGTACCTCAAAGTATGTTATTAATAGGCTATAACATATGGTGCACATCACAAAAAAGCAAAGTTGATGAATGTACTGTGGAATTGAAACATTTCAATTAGATTATAATGATGATAGGGACATTTCTCTTAAGCATTTCCTCGACAAAAGCATTATCCAAGTCCACAAAACTCAGATGAAATCCAACAAAGGTTTAGCCTGCACTTGACCCTTATGTCCTGGTGTTGTCAGCACTTTTATCCCAAGATCATATTCTTAAAAGAAAACCAAAGCGTCAATGTACTGTGTGTGCCGTACTACACTGCGCACCATTTAAAAAATATATAAAATTAGGGTTAGGGTTGGGCCTTAAAACAAGAGACAGAATTTTCCACTGCGGGTGATGGACAGTCTTTCCTGACCTAAACTAGTGAGTGTTACTGTATGTCAGCTGTGTGAGTTAAGGACACCGGAGTGTTGCTGAAGGATATTCCTTAACGGTTTGAGTCTGTAAAACCTGCAATGGAAGCTTACTTGCTTTCCGCATGAAAATGGTTCTATTTAAAATAATGAATATAGGTCAGTCAGCTTTTTCCAAAATGGAAGGCTGACCTTTTAAAGAACCTCTAGAATAAACAGAATGAGGTCAACATTCAGCTAACTGAACTTCTGATTGGCCAATCGCAACTTTTGCTTTTTATCATGTGGGCATTTGCCAAATTACTTTTGTATTTTTAAGCATTGAGTTTCCAGTGTTTGTTTTGAAATGTTAAACATTGTCATGTTATATTGGTTTATGGTTGGCATATTTCTTTATTGCTGTATGTTGTCTTAAACAAATGTGAAACACGTGTGTTTATTACATTTACATGATGATGGAATGAAGAGCACTAAATGTGAGCAGATTTTTTGTCTCACTACTGCTTCTGCTCTGGTTCATAACTGTTTGTACTTTTATCCTATTGACAAAAACAAAATGTTTACATGTAAGTTGCCAACAAAGCAATCCTCTGAAACAGCCTTTGGAAGCAGCTTTTTACACCAAATAAAGTTTGCACACAATCATTGTTTTATTTATGTATTTATTTATAATGGTGTGGAAATGCAAAGTCTTCATCATGCTGTCAACATTTACCCACCTCAATTTCACAGGCAATGACTCGGGGGACATCATTGCGGGACACATTTATTCCGCACAATCGTACAAACCACCAGTCTGTAAGAAACAAAACTGAGCTCTTCTTAGGGCAAGTCATCAACATTCCTGAGTGGAAAAGTCTCCAATACTTAAATGAAGTGGAGAAACTCAGAGGAAACTGTTTTTAGGGTTCAGCGATAGAGTCACAGCAGACAGATGTTTATCGTTCTCAGACATAATCACTCTTTCCTTCCCAGCTCACGACAGGTCAAGAGTTTATTTTTAACTCAGTGGGTAGTCTCCCTCAGGGTCATGGTCAATATTGTGGTTACTCACAAGAAGTTAAAAAAGAAACACATAGGACTTGAGCAGCTCTCAGGGGGTGTCCTTACACAATTTGACTATCAAATATACTGTAGTAACAAATCTGTATACCATTGTTGGGGGAATGATGAGGAAAATACAGGACAAAGTATTTTTTTTCGCTTGTATTCTTAAACGCGGCCTGGCACTGGTCTGCAGCCGTTTGTGGGAAATATTGCTTTATATAGACCGGTGTTCAACCCCATTGCTTTTATGATATCAACAAGAAGTATCAAAATGTGTCAAGTATTAAAAGTGGGATTGAATGCCAAAAGTAAAAAAATAAATGATCCATTTAAAACATTCACAAAGGAAACGCAAAGAAAAACATACGGTTCAAGTAGACAAAAGAAGACCATTCCAAATGTCAGCCCCTTAAAGTCTAGGCCATGGAACTATGCCGGTGGAAGGTGGAGGTAAAGGGTTAGGAGCAATGCATGCTGGTCCAAGTGAAACTGCACTCCAGTTCTTATGGTGCGTTCCAGTTGTAATTTTGTCGGGAATTTTAACTGGAGGTCGGACTTCCTACTTGGAATCTCGGAGGTACTACGCCATACCGCATCAGTAATAGACACTTACTGATAACATGTTTAGCTCTTCTGTATTGTTTGTGTCACATTAAACCAACTGTACATGTGGCACTGCTCGTCTTGGATCTGTGGATATCTTGGTACGATGTTTGTATTGACAAAATGCAAAATAAAGTGTGGTTATCAACCGATATTGCTAACAGTGGTGACTGCTAAAGATGTAAACAAGAGGAACTAGTTTCCTGCGGAGGTCCAACTTTTTCTGACTTGTGCTACTGGAACGCAGTCAACTCGATGTGACGTCACTCCCAGTTCCCACCTCCGACTTCCAAAGAAAATGGAACGCAGCATTATACCAGACATTTGTGTCGAAGGAAGAAATGAGTCTGAAGGGTAAGCTGTTCACAAGTTGATCAACCTGCAACTGTAAGCATGAGCCCTGAGTAGTGATCGAAATAATAAGTTAATCGGTACAAAAATGTAATACGTTTATATTGTTTCTAGCTTACCCTTTAGAGACCGAGCTCAGACATCCGGAAGAAGCCCAGAGCATTGCCACAACTCCAATAAACAGTTCAATAAACAGTTCAGTTGGTTTCTGATCAAGCTTCTTCATAGACACTCCCAATAGAGATATTCCTGACTTCTAACTGTCATTTCCATTTTTGAACAACCATCCATGCCTTTCTTTGGAAATATCCAGGGAATATACAACTAGGAGTAAACCCAGAACAGGCAGTAGATATATTTCCCCATCTGGCCCAGGATCTAAGGATACCCCAGAAAAAGCTGGAGGACTTGGCTTGGAAGAGCGACTTTTTGGGCTACCATGCTTAGCTTGTGGCAGAACGTTTAGACGGACATGTCTTAAAAAATCTATTTCTGTTAAGAGCTTATTTGTTCCTATGAGCCACCGTCCTTAAATTAGAGACCACATTATTCCTTTGGGTCTTAAAACACAGTTTCAAACATCGACAATAACCTCAGCAACCTCAACGTGGGGAGAGCAGACATGGTAGTGCTGAGTCGTTATGTGGTAGGTTCAAACATCATGCATTATGTGGGGTTACAGTGGCTATAAATGTACCATGCCAGAGAAATGAAGGAGTGCTGGTCTATGAGACCATGATAACAGGCTTTCTCATTGGCTGCCAGTTGGTCTTGGCCTGCTTTCAAGTGAGATCAGCTTCAAAAACAGCTGATGTTGCACTAAAGATATTCTAATAACTGTTGTTGAAACCAATGATTCCACTTTGAAATGTCCAGTTGCAGATATACCAGTGGAAAAAAGTGAAAACTAAAGAACTAAAAGCAGAGAGGGAAAATGTTTGATTGTGGAGTTTTTGTAACGTGACATATCTTAAAATGCAGCTAACCACTCTGACTGAGTTGATGTTAATAAAGGCATACCATTGTTCTGCTATCTGGTGTTAAAACTAAGTTGTGTTACATTTTTTGTTTCCGTTGACCCAAGTGTAAAATAACTGGAATCACTTATATTGAAGTAAGTTTTGGACAGCTGTGCAACTCCATCCTCAAAGTGCTGCTAAAACAAACCGGTATGTTTAAGGAATATTTTTACAGCATACTTTTTTTGTATAGCTTCGATACCAAGGTAAACTGACATCTTTATTGTTGGTGGAGAACTTTTTTAGAGCTCTCCCTGCTTCTATGTTGTCAGAGCCACAAAACCATCTAGTCGTAATTGTTAATGGTATTGCTTCCCAATAAAATTAGGGTTAGGGTTGTCAAAGAGAACTGAAAGTGTGTGCTGGTGAGAAAAATGACTGGAGAGACATATTTAGACAACACACTAAATAATCTGATATGAATCACATTGTTGGCTGTGATTGACTTACAACAAATCATTCATTGTTCACATGTATTCTTGATACTGTTGAGCTGGAAATCACATAAACCTAGATTTTAGGGTAAATAAACATTTTTGGTGAACTTTAATTTCCTTTTTATAAACTGTGTCAAATCCTTGAATGAGTAATCTCTCATTTGGCAATTACCTCCTTCTATTCCCCCAACATTTATCCTTCTTTCCCAACTATCTTCCCTCCTCTTATTTCATGCAACATCTTCATTTTGCCAACTGTCACAAGCCGACCTGTAATTGAGAGTTTTGGTTTTCCTGCAGACGGCTGATACTATAAATGGTCTTCGTCTTTAAATCTGGTCTTGACTAATGAGTCGGGCTCCGTGAGTTAGCTGTGTCTCACAAAACATATTTCTGAGTGGTGGATGATAAGAAATCCACATGTATGTAGCTCCTTTTCAGTGAGTTACTTAGGAGTGTAGCTGAACGGCTTTTATTACAGGGCTTCCAGTTTAAAAATGACTAAAACAAGTTTTCTGACCAATTAGAGGGGGATACAGGGAGAAGTTCCTCCGGATTAGCAGGAGAGATCTGCTTGTTGCATTGGAAGATTATATGCTTGACAAGTTAAAGTGTCCCTGTATTGAAGAGTTATTTTCTACTTTTTTATTTACTAAGATGTGGGTCTTCCAGCTCTTATCGTCCATCTGAGTTTCATATAGAAGAATGGTGCGTTTATGTGCCGCCATGTACCTGTCTTCCATTCCAAAGTTAACAATTTTTGCATATTTACTTTTTGCCGTTTGCTTTTACCATGGTTGCAAAGTACATGCAAGCCGACCGCACCAACTCTGCTATACAATATAGCAGAGAGGAACTTCTTCACATCAGAAACGTTGTGGACAATAACCCACCGACAGACAATGGAGATTCGCCATGGCTACCTGTTTCTGTCCTACCTGAGAGACGCAGGAGGAAGACAAAGCGGGGGTCCCGTGCCGGGCTGCTGGTCAGACTGAGGAAACGAGAAAACCGACCCCCTCTTCTGGCTAATGTTCAATCCATTGAAAATAAGCTAGATGAACTCAGAAGTCGGATTGCTTTTCAACGGGACATTAAGAACTGTAACCCCCAGTTTCCGCCGTGTTACGGCTGCGCCACGGCGGTCGTAAGGCCACTCTAGTCAATGGGTGCTATTCCACCACACGCGCCGCGTTACGGCTCAGACGCGTCCCAGAAGCGGCTCGGCGCAGCGCTTCTCAAAAATTCGGATGAATCCTATTTTTGCCGCGGCGCAGCCGTAACATAAGGTCGGGCAGGCAGCCCCACCTCGCAGGAAGTGGAAAGGTGAGCATCCGGGCCAGGCCCATCCCCCACATATACTAATTTAGCAGACCCCCCTCCTTCATCACAACACCTCCACTACGATATGCACAATGGACGACGAGGTTTTCATCATGGAAGTGGACTATTACAATTATTATTAACTGTGTCTGTAGACTACAACACAACAAAATAGGAAATTTATAACAACAATAAACACAATTTAAACAGACACAAAAATAAAACATTTAACTACGTAGCCTACATACTTTCTTGTAGAAGTACAAATGTCCAGGATGCCCGAATCAATAACAAAACTGCGAGCCTGCACGCACGACGCTACGCTTCTGAAACGCTTCTGGGACGCGTCCGGTGGGTTATGGCGCTAGAGGAGGTCGGACCAAAACCACGGCGCAGCCGTGACGCGGCGCAGTGCGGCGCAGACGGACCCAGTGGAAACTGGGGGTAACGTGTTAATTATCACTGAGACTCGGCTCAACCCCGCTATCCCGGACTCCGCCATTGTTCCTGACGGATTCACAATTTTTCGCCAAGACCGGACTGCTAACTCTGGAAAAGTAAAGGAGGCGGTGTGTGTGTAAATAATGACTAATAACAACTGGTGCACAGATGTGAGGATGATTTCTTCAGACTGTTCCGCTCATTTAGAGCACCTTATGATCTCATGCCGGGCTTTTCACCTGCCGAGATAATTCACATCTGTTGTGATAACAGCAGTGTATATTCCGCCGCTAGCCGACAACAACACTGCACTCGATCAGCTGTTTGGGATTATCAACAAAATCGAGACTTCACGGCCAGAGGCGTTCGGCGTTCGTTGTGCGCAAAATGCGTACATGAAGCGCTACGTCATGAACGCAATAAATCATACCCTCGTGGGGGCGCACTCATGTGATTGGCTTAGAATGGAGGAGACATCTGATTGGCTATAGATAGAAAAAATTACAAGTACGAATCGGCTGACCGTCAGGGGAGTCTAAAAAAACCCACACACGAATGCACAGCGATCCGTGCACAGGAAGCGGTTTGTGTTTGCAGGTTCAGGGGATTTAAACGGAAAACAAATATGTGAGGATCAAAAATACATATGTAAAACTTTTTTCTGTATTTGATTTTATTTACATGTATTGAAACGGAACACATTTGTGTATGCATTGAAAAACACAAGTGTGGATCCGGAAATACAAGTTAGACTCCTTTTGCGGATCATGAAATACAAGTGTGAATCCTTCTGTGTGCATGTGTGTATTATGAGACTGTTCTGAGCCCATAGAACATCATCAGGACGGAGCTGCCATCCATGGAGATCTTTACTCCCAGCGGCTCAGGAAGAAAGCCCTCAGGATTATAAAAGACCCCCATCACCCCAGCCACAAACTATTCAGTCTGCTGCCTTCTGGCAGGCGTTACCTCAGCATCAGGACTAAAACCACCAGATTCAGAGACAGTTTCATCCCACAGGCAGTGGCGACTGGTCATTAGGGGCACAGCCCCACCTAGTGTCAGCAGAAAGTATAAAAATAATAATTACAAAAAAATGCAAAAAAAATACATCTTAAAATATGTTTTACAATCATGTTTAATCATCTGATTCGTCTGTACATTGCTGTTTTAGTCTAATTAGTGTCTACAGTGTGCCTATTGAGCTGTTTAGAGCGACGTGGGTCAAGCCCCGATCAAGCCCCTGTCTCTCACTGCGCATTTCCACTGCAGCGCGTAGCACGTGCCAAACCCGGCCCGATTTTTGTTGCGTTTCCACTAGGGGTAATTCCGGCTAACGGGTACTGTTTCACAGCTTTCTGGCTCTCCAAAATCGAGGTTCTTTCCGGACCAACAACCGGGCTGAGCATGCTAAACTAGTGAGAGAATCGCTGGCAACTACAACAAAATGAACATATTCTACCGTGATTTAATTGTAATACACGTTTCAAAATGATGCCGAAGTAACAACATACTGATACCGGTTAGTAAAAACCATGAATTAATGCTTTGACAAGTCTGCAGACAGACGGCAGAGAAACACCTTTTAAAATGCGTGTTTTTTAAATGGAGCTTGGCTAAGCTAACGTTATATATGCTCCGACCGTCCACACTCACAACAACGGCCTACAGACATAAATAAACCAGCGACTGTACTCGCCATGACACAGGCAGTCTGTGGTTTGTACTTGTTTAACTTTTGTCTTGTTTCTGAACAGATATGAGGAGCTGTGAGCTCTGAGTGCTAACAGCTAACGGCTGATGTTGGTGTTGTGGTTCGCATTGAAGATGACGTCACGGCTCTGCCCACACTGCGTTACTATAGTTACTGCCCCAGCTACTAAACTGTAATGGAAACGCAGCATAAAGTGAGCCTGGCCTACCAAGGCCTAACTATACCGTACGAGGCCCTGCAGTGGAAAAGCGCCATTAGTGAATGGGTGCTGTAAAAACAACACTGCGCATGCTCAGTCTTTTTCTATTCAATGTGTGTGGCAAAAAAACAATCACCATTGGGGCACTGAGCTGCCATCCCCACCAAACATCATCTCACATAATTCAGAGCTGATTGGCTGTAAGTACGTGTGCCAAGAAAAGTGTAGTGTGTGAAGAGGAGACGAGAGAGCTGCAGTGACGCATCATAAAGCCCGGAAGTAAGCTGCGCATGGCTTCCCTCCACAAAAAAGCAATGAGATTTCTCCATAGGATTTTAGAAAATAGCTCCAAATAAGATCTGTGAGAAACGTAGCTGTTAGATAAATGCACGTTTTGTTCAGCCGGATAATATCCACATGTCTAGCCTACTTTTATCATTTTCCAATCATAAATCTATCGATTAGATTTATGATAGACTTTTGAAACTACTGGAAGATAAGGAGGACTTTTACAAAAAAGTAATAGAGATTTTTGTCCAGAGGGATAGGCAAATGGACTTAATCTTCAAGTCAAGGTAAGACTGCAATTTTATTGAAAGTGGGATCTTACTAAGAGAGAACAATTCAATATTTAAATGATACAATTACATTTTTTGGGTATCCTTCTGTTGAACTGTCTGTTTAAAATTAATTGAAGCATCAGACTAAAAAACCTTTTGAAAATAATATTATATTTTGATTTAGGTCCAAATATAATATTTGTAAACCAGAAGAGTCAGAGCCTCAGCAGCCATGAACCTCACTGCAGAAGCTTCTATATAGACATCTACGTGTTTTGTGCCCCACCACTTTTGTACATATAAAAACGCCACTGACCACAGGCAATAAGACTGCTAAACACCTGAACTGTTGAAACAACATCCATAACATTCATCTGCTACTTAGTAATTATGTATCTATTTCTCTAATATATCATTCCAATAACTTGCATAGACTCTTATTGCACTATTTCACCTTTTAAACTATTTTTCTTTTTGTATTTACTATTTACTTGCACTATATTATTCTGTTTATCTGTGTTATTGTGTTGCACTGTTTTCATCTGCATAACTACTCTGTAGCTATGTTCTTATGACTAATAAAGAACCTTGAACCTTGACTATTCAATACATCTGTGTTAAGTTAAAAACACGTTTTACAACAGTCATGACTGATAATTATTCGTATTCCCTGTTAGTAATGCAAGTTCTAAGAACAATGGGATTATTGGGCTGCAAACACCAGTACAGTCCTTTTCAAATCGTGCATTGTACGATTCCCTGGAAACAACAATTACACTGTACAGATCTTAAATGTCCTGAAAGAATGGAATACATATTATTTGTATTAGTAATATAATTTATTCTGCATTATTTTTTATAACAAAACACTGAATTGCAAACATTTAAATCATCCTTTGAATAAATAATTAGTTATTATTATTATTTCATAATTACATAATATTAAATCAAGTATGAAATCACACTTAGAATCAGTTTAAAGGTCACTTATTTGTTGTAATATGAGACCATTTTATAGGATAAAGGTCAGTAAGATTTTTGCATATAATGTTCAGAAATAATCATTTAAAACATATAGAATATATTCTTTTGTTTAGAGAAAACATTGATAATGTAATGAAATGCAATATAACTCTTGCAGAAATGATATCAAACATAAGGTATTGCAGGGAATATGAAAAAGAAATGCTTTGAGTACAGAATCACATGTTTACCAAATCCAATTTCTATACATTTCACACGTGCAAATCTTACTGACACTTAATCGGCACCATAGATTAAAGAAAAACTGCTCTTGTGGTAAAACTTGTACTTGTTTGTGTGTAAGGTACACACTGGAATATTGTTATTTAAAAATATTTAACATTGGTTATTCTGTTGTGCCGATGATAGAGTTCACATGTCTGATTCACACTTACATGTAGAACAAATTATAGGGATGGCAAGTCATTACATTTGTAATGTATCATTGTTTCCATCAAGTGTTGTCTTCAACTGGAACCCAGAAGGATATCTTCTTGCATATCTTTTCCTCAATAATCATTTTAAAAATATACCATTAATAATGTATTAGTAGGAAAATCATGTGGTAAGATACTATGTATATGAGATTTACGTCAATGAATCATCATTTCACCTTAACTGAGGTGCAGTGTTGCACTGTAGGGTTCTGGCAAAACATTAGTCCACAGGGACATTACATTTCAAAGTGCACAGTTGGAATTCTTTTAAGGCACACGCACTGTATTTCAGCTTTCGGACACGTCGTGTAGTCGTGATTGTTTCTGGGTTCTAGAGTTTTGGACGGAGGGACCCGACCACCGGCTTGTCGGAGCAGAACTCCTTCCACCATGAAGGCCGCTCCATCACCTGGTTGCCCTGCATCACTGTGGACCACAGGTTCTTGTAGAGCTACGTGAAGGAGAACAAGGAGAAGAGGTCACTGACTGTTCTGATCCACTATCTTTAGTTTGTTGTAACCTTTTATTTTCTTAGACATCATTCTGCTAATGCACCGTTCTATTGTGATATCGTAATGTGAGTTTATGTGGTTGGGAATCAAGGATCCTGTAGAGTCCGATACATCCGACACCTCCGAAACCCCTCACTCAAATTGTCTGTCTTTTCATTGGTCTAAAGATCACAAGACCTTTATGGTTCTGTGATCGTAGAAAAAAAGACTGGCTATCTGTGACTACACAACTGTTTTTTTAAATTTTCTAATCAAATGGTCGGCCTCCAAAATGGAAAACATAGAAAAAAAGCATGACCCATTTTCACATCTATCTGGTTTTTACCAGTTGCTGATTTTTGGAACATGGGCTGTTGTTGTTCTAACTGTGGAATGTTTGGTAACATATCGCCCAACCCCAATGACAATACTCAAGTAATTCATGACAATATCCTGTATATTATTCTTGTGAATCCTCCATTGACTGTTTAACCTATCCTTTTTGGGTGTTCATTTGATGTTATCTACAGTCTTTATAATTATTTTGCAGAAAACTTTGCAAATCAACTTGCTAACAGATGTTAATGTGTCAAAAATAAACCAAACCTCCCAAACATTATTTTGCAAACATAGCTTAGCAACCGTAGCTTAGCAACCGTAGCTTAGCATGAGGAGAGGATCGCGTTTCTTTAAATGTGAAAGCACGTTCATTGCACTTTATTTAAAATGAAAGTCAGTTTCCTAAAGGTTTGGAAGGTGTTGATTTTTTGGCCTTTCTAAAAAAACATGTTAGCTGCTAATGTTAGCATGCTTTGTCAATTAGCTTACTGTGTTGGGTTACAGTTTGGAAACATTTAGGAAAACAAAGCTTTTCTTCAGGATTTGAAGATCCAGTCTGTTGGAATCACATAAGACCAGTCACAGATGAAAGTATATTGAGCTAGCTTACTTGCTGTACATTAGCCCAGCACATCAGAACATGCTCAGTGTTTCTATATATGTATAACAGAGGAACATCCTGTTTGTATTGACCTTTTGGTTGGGACTTGGTTAGACATCTTCATGCAATTTTTTTGATATGGTAGAGTCAGGGGCGTCGCCTGGACCTGAAAACATTCGGGGCTTAGCCCACAGTGGCGGCGGCTGCGGCGCTACAGTGGAATGTTCTACTGCACACACAGTACACCTGCGACTGTTACAATGAAGGCTTGATAATCAGCTCACGGCATATAGGCAGGGGTAAAGTGCTATTTTTTATTAGTGGGGTGCCTCACCTCCTCTAGGGGGGTCCGGGGGGATGCTCCCCCGGGAAGATTGTTTTTAAATATTGAAGTTTAAAGCATCAATCTGGTGCACTTTGAGAGCAACATTAAGAGATCTATGGATACCTCTCTCAACACCCAGATGAAACACAACTGTAAGCAGATGTTCTTTTTCTTTATGGATATTTTACAAATCACTCTCCTTTCAAACTGTATTCTTGTTTTACTGCCATATAGTATTTCATAACTGTTTTTCCTTTATTCTCTTGTTTTTTTTATAACTATAATGATCATATGAAGGTGTGCCTAAAGCCCCGAATGCCCAGGCCAGGCGACGCCACTGGGTAGAGTAGCCTTTCTGTATATTCTGAGCTGTCGTCATCACTTCCTGTCCAACCAAAAACAATGCAATCAAACTGCCTTTTGGAAACGAACCAACGACAAGAAGAGACAAAGCTGTCATCTTGAGAATAATATAAACATACTGCTGGCCTTCCAAATGTCACAACTTAAACAGATTTGATTAAAAAAAACAGCCCACAACCTCAATAAGTATGTGTTACGACCACAGCTGAAGAGGAAGTTTGTTTATGTGGGTTAATAAAGATTCCAGAAAGTTACAGACTTGCTGAGAAACTTGGCAGGATAAGGTTGTGGTCAAATCGTACTTTGTTTTAAACACTACATTAACCAAAAGGCCACATATGAGCGTTCCTTTCTATAAAAGTAGAGACACTACATACTGATATACACCTGAACATCAGCAGGAGAGGACTCTTTAAAGTAGAGACACTACATACTGATATACACCTGATCACCTGAACATGAGCCTTAATGGGCCCCTTTAACACGTTAAGTATATGTCCTGTCTTTATCTTTTCTTTGTTTCACTGGAACTATACTAGCTACTTGTTATTGAACTCAGATCCAAAAGAAAACATATTTTTTATTTATGTATTGGCTGACAATAGACTGTCATGGTGATGTATACTAATCCTATTTCACTCAATCCTGCTGTTAAAACAATTCTAATTAATAAAAAATGTCTCCAACACCAAACCTTATATTGCCTGGTAATTTATTTTCTATTTAGTTTGGCTCATTATTCCTACGCCCTTGTTTTTATCTGATTTATCCATAATTAAGACCCACAGAAAGACTTGAACAGCCAAGACTGAGTAGAAGTTAGCCGTATTAGCATTGTTATACTATACATGTTATTAAACTTGCAATATCTTACAGTCAAGGACCAATTTAGCATCTAAAATAAATTGGGTGAACCGTGGGGCTGACACAGAGAAACAGAATACACTGCGGGTCCACATGACGTGCTCTTCTCAGGCAAAACAAACATTAGTTAAGCCTTCTTATGACACAGGAAGTTCTCAGACAGTGCAGAGAGGGTCATTGTCAACAACTGTCAAAGGGGATTTATAACAAAAAAAGAGCACGCTGGATGTGTTTTCCTGGAAGAGGGAGAGACAGCAGCCAAAGCTCTGAACTGTTTTTCCTGAAATCTAACTGAACCTGACTAACAGGCAGACTGCATGATGGGAATGGGGAGTGAGAGGGAAAACAACTGTAGGGCCCGTTAGTGAGTCACTGAGATGGGTGTCGCTGTGTTCACAGCTACCATGCATTTAAACATTTTACAAATCTATGCTTGTACAATTTATTTAATTCATGTATTTAATAATATTAATATCATTTTGAGTGCCCACTGGATTTAGTCATCATTTAGTAATAATTTGCCCATAGCTGAAAGTTTATACAGTATGGGGTCTGGAGAGTGCAACAAAATTATTTGATAGATTTAATGTTACATTTAAAATAACTGATAGAAATATTGTTTTAATTTGAACAAACAATATAAATTGAAGCTAATTCATAATATTTATTTTAGTTATAAATATCTGTTGGCCAATTACAAAACAATTACTGCTAATATTACAAATGCAAAAATATGAAGACAACAGTTAATAAACATTTTTAGATTGACAAGTTTCTTTTCTAAAAAGCCTTCACTGTCCCTATATTTTTCTAAATGTTTTTTATTAGTTATTAATTTTACTTGCACCGCCTCACTATTTGTTTTTTACAATATATATTTTTTTCTTGAAATCAATGATCTGAAAACAAAATAAGAAAAAAAAGCAAGTTTTAAAAGTACTTTACATTACTTCTGTAATGTGCCTGCAGTATAGTATCCGGAATTTGTATTATTGATTTATTAAAAAATATATACACTATTCCAGTGGCATGCTTTACGCTCCACAGGGTCAAGTTCAAGAAGACAAATCACATTAAAAGTTTCATCAAAGACTGAAAACTTTTCAAATTAAATCAATGACACAAATACACTGATACTGTGATTAGAGAATAAAAAAAGGGAAAACAGTTTCCTTTTTAGATTTATTGTGTCATTGCCCTAAAGACTCATCTAGCTGTGACTGATAACATTCAAAATATGATGGTCTGACATGTCTAGAAATATACTAAACATGCTTAAATAAAGTTACACTTAATGTATACTGTATGTATTGGTTTACCTGTCCGTCAGCGTAGCCAATAGGTGAGTTGAGAATGAAATCAGTGGGGGCGAAAACATCCACCAGCGATACTGCATCATCCTTCAGCTACAGGGGACACACAAAGCAGATTGGTCATCATTTAGAATTTAACACTTTAAAATGGTATAAACAGAGAGATGTAACCATGCAGAGGATGCAGTGTTGGTGTACCTGGGAGCAGAGAGTGAGAATGGCCGTTTGGACCAACTCTGCGGGCTTCCTTCCACTCAGATAGTTACCTGTACAGGAACAAAACTATGTTACAGAAACCACAAATATACTATATGCTTTCTACATTGATGTTTTCAGTTTAAAGAGTGCAGTCACACCCTGGTAAAGTATGGCCATGTGTGTGCTGAGACTCCACAGCCCGTACAGAGCACACAGTTTGCTGAGAACAGGTCTGAGATCAGCCGGTGTGTCCTCATCAACGGTCAGGTCATGGAACCTCTGCAGGCAGTTGTGTTCTATGTAGGCCATCGCCAGGGTACGAGAGGAGTACACCTAAACACATAAGGTGGAACATTAAAACAGTACATTTTAAATAGCAACTACAATGCATGATTGTATAATGTGTATAGCCTCCTATACTTATATTGTATGTATATTGTAGTTTTGTATGTTGGAATATCTATTATATTTTGTGCATTTTATATTATCATTCTAGTGTGGATATGTATATATTTACTTGTATTGTTTATTTTATTTATTGTGTCTACTTTACAAATTGGGATTGATAAATTAGTATTGTACTTTTTATTTTTGCTGTACACTCGAGCAAGAAAGATATTAAACTTAACATTGCCTTGTGCAGGAAATAGGATGAATGCTAAGCTAGCCTTAGTAGCACACCAGAGCCTCCAGATTTAATTTCACAAAAGTAGAAATTACTAAAAATCTAGACTTCGAATATTGTAATATTATATATATTGTGGTATGTTTTGATGTTCATAACATTTTCCTAAACGGGGATTGCAATAGAAGAATTAGGCAGAATTCACAATAAATGGGATTGTTAAAAATGTTAAATCATTCAATGTAATGCAAATGAATGCACAATTTTCCTGGAGCATGAATAGTGTAAATACAGTAAAAAATAATGGTGTGGTAGGAAAGAATTTTTCCGCAGGTTTGGATGAAAATGATTATTAAAGCTTCTGATATCCCAACTATATATTCAGCTTTGCAAACGAGCAAGCTACTAGCTAGCCTGCTCGTTAGCAATGAATGTGAATGACAGGAAATGAACAAGAAATAAACTATGTTAACAAATCCGTTTAAAATAATTAAAAAATTGGGTTTTATTTGTTCGGTACAAATGTAATCCAACTGAACCTTCTTGGAAACAATACATGTGCGTTTGTCATATTAATGGCCAAAACAGCAACAAAATGAGTAAATCCAGTGATACATACATTTCCCAGAACTACAACACCCATCTGACACTGTAACCTCCAGCATGCATCTGTGGTACAATAACTCAAACCAGATTACGGCAGCCCGGCTCTGTAAAGACTGTCCAAAACTCCACCTAGCCAAACTCCATGTATTGCCGTTTCTAATGAGACGGCCTGGAGACACAACACAACGCAGAGCGTCTTCTTCTTCTCTGGAATGAGTTTGTGATAAGACACCACTAATCCTGCTTTAGTTTGGCAAGGGTTTACTTAAGAAGCGGGAGTTAATGGCTCAGAATGTGTAATAATATGCCAACATCTGATTAGCTCCAGACACATTACTTAAGAAACGGCTGTATTTCAGTGCTGGAAGTAGTGTTCAGATCTGCTTTGAGAAGGATTCTTAAGTCAAAGTATTTAACTATGAACAGGAAAGTGTACTTAGAGTATTACGAGTAACTGTACTCATTGGAAAAAACTTGAAATAAATTAAAATATTTGAGATACTGTGAAATGTTTTTACACACAAAAATTGAGTGAAATTATTATCTAAACTGCAGAACAATCTAAATCTATACAGAAACGTAGTTTAAGTTGTAAAATAAATGTAGTAAAGTAAAAAAGGTACAATATTTCCCTCTGAATTTCAGCAAAGTAAAAATCTAAATTGCCAAAAAAGGATAGTACAAGAAAATGTGTATCTATGTTGTACTTGAGAAAATGTACTTAGTTACTTTCCACAACTGCTGTTTTTAGCTTGAGTTGTGGGAATAGCTGTGAGTGAGCATAAAGGGTCCTTACAGTGGTGTGTGTGTGCGTGTGTGTGTGTGTGTGTGTGTGTGTGTGTGGGGGGGTGGGTGGGTATGTGTGTGTGGCCTAGCATTACTATACTTGTGGGGACCTAAATCTGTATACACAGTCACGTGTGGGGACTCGCCTCCCTTATGGGGACAAATTGGAGGTCCCCATGAGGGGAATCATTAATTTTAGGGTGAAGACTTGTTTAGGATTAGGTTAAGGTTAAGGGTTAGGGTTAGGCATGTGTTGGTTATGGTTAAGGTTAGGATAAGTCTCCAGGAAATGCATGTAAGTCAATGTAATGTCCCCTGAAGTGATGTATACATGGTATGTGTGTGTGTTACCTGGCTGTTGTTACGGGCCTCAAAATCATTTTTTCCCATGACCCTCTGCTGCTCCAGCTTCTTCTGGCTCTCCTCCAACAGGAAACACACCAGCCACTTATAGGCAGCCAATGGCACTGATATTATGAACAAGGGGAATAAGATAATAAATCATAATCAGTAAATGAGTAATGCTGATATTAAGAGGCTAACCCTAAACTGAGATTTTTTTTTAAATAAGATTTTCCAGTGAAGGGAATGATCCCTTCGGAGTACCTGCAGAGTCCATGCACTCCTCCATGGTTCTTGCTGTGAACTTGGTTAGCAGGGTGTTTTGGAGATCATCCAGGAAATCCACAGTGTGAAGAGGAGACTCAATACGCACACCATCTGAAAACACACAACAGCGGAAACGTTAGAGATCAATCCTGTGCTCACAATTTATGTTATCATAGTCTGAGTTTGCTAAAGGTTTTTTGTATCTCTTATGAACCCATATATTCACGTAGAAATTCCGATTAAAAAAAACACGAAAAAACTGTAATATGTGCACATTTAGGGAAAACTTTGTCAATAGGGAGAATAAAGCTGTACGTTGAATTAGACTGCTTAATGCATGTCAGGATATGTCGAACACAACAAAACAATAATAATCTTTACTTTCCTTACAACCCGTAATATGAATTCACAGTGGAATGCCGTACAAAAATAGAAAGCAGACATCTTTCTGATAAAAATGTTCAAAATATATAGCAGTCTAAAGGGCTGAAGAGGCACGAATATATAAAATGTTTTCCTTGGGTCAGAGTGAATTCCTGCATCAAAACATCACGAAAACTGATGTAAAAGAACATCCGTGATTTGACAAGCCGATAACATGGATTTTGTTGTGAAATCTCGCACTTTAAAAACCTTGTGACTGGTCATTCATTGTCGTAAATAGCACATCGCAGTGGCACGCCACCAGCTCCAATGACTGACATGATATCTCGTATTAACCCTCATTGTACACACTGTACTGACCGCGCTGTTTGGCACAGAGCCAGCTGAGCAGGTAGTTGCTGGTCTGTTGCAGCAACACGTTGTTGTCTCCTTCGTACGTGCAGTTTGGGTCGTTGTCATCACGCAGATCACCCAGCCGGTTCACTGGAAGAGAGGGAAGGTAGTTAGTTCTCTGAAAGTGTGTGTGTGTGAGAATCTGTGTGTGTGTGTGAGAATCTGTGTGTGTGAGACTGACTGGCCAGGTATCCATGTCCCCCGCAGGCCTCCCTGCACTCCTGGATCCCCCTGGCAGCGGTCCAGGAGCCCAGGGGTTTACTGGAGCAGCCAATGGCGTGGATCTCCCTGCCCATCTCTGCCTGCAAGAATCACAGCGGGGAAATTTACAGTGTTAGAGCAAAAGTGGCATAGCAGGTAAAAAAAGTAATCCATTTAAATAAATATAGAGAAGAAAAACACACATTCGTAATAGAATAAAGTAATAAGACAAATAAGTACACAGAAAAAAAGCAGTAGCATCAATTGTTGAGACATGTATAAAACATTTTGGGACATTTATAAAATAATTTTTAAAAATGCACATAAAAGTGATAATTCCACAGTACAGTTGCAAAAAGAAGTGTATGTATATATATCTTTTTTGTTTGTTTGTTTTTTTCCCTGCAACTTACTTGCACTATTACATATATTTGATTTGAAGTAAATGCTGTGTCTCAATTTGCGTACGTTTTGAATGTGTCCCAGTGCTAAGGATGGCAACATGTAGTGCACCGAGTACCCAAAGGGTGCTTTCATAATAGCTACAAAGTTGAGTGTGGAAAACAAATAAAAGTTATAAATGTGTTTCAGTATTTCATATGCATACCAGTAAACTGGTGACGAAAATAAGCAATAGTTTATTTTCTGTTTTTTTTTTAGCAATCTGTAATGATTTGCTACCCGTTGAGCACTGACGTTCCTAGCTAGAGTTGATCGTCACATTCACTGAGTGCTGTTTACGTTTTAATACAACACTAGTAGGGCCACATGTATACACTGTACGACATGCAGTGTACTAAGGGAAGTGTCAGAATGAGACACAGCAGTATTGTATGGCATTGTTGGAAGATGTGGTCCTTAAGATTTCTATTTCCCAAACTACACTACTGATATTGTGAATTTTCCAATAAAGCCTTTGAATCTTTAATAATTCTAGATTTGGATATACACCCATGCAGTCCATCTAAACTCACTTGTCTGTCATCCTTCAGCCTCATTGCCTGTCCAATTCTGAACTCAACAAAGTCCATGAAGATGGATTTGGTGAAGTGTTCAAGAGCATACGCTGCTGCCAGGAAGGGGATCAGACGCCATTGCTGAAACAACATACAAATATAAGAAATGTGTGAATACATTTCACACTCAAAAACACCAAGTTTTGTGACTTTAGAAAACGAATGTAACGTTCACAAGGTACTTTGAAGATTTACACTCCCTCCTTCCTGACCTGTAACTGGTACTCCAGAACAGGGATCTCCTCTGTGTCTTTGGGTCCAAACTGCCTGCGGGTGGCTGAGAAGCGGATGGCGATAGTCAGGGCTAGCTTCAGGTTGACCAGAGCCATCCTGGTGATGGTCACCCTGCCCCCTGACAGGGCCCCCAGAGACTCCCCAAAACGCTTGTTGGGGTCCTGAAGGTGACAAAAGACACACAGGAGAGACATGGGAACGGAATTAAAGATAGAAAAATAACTATTTACATCTTACACACACTCCAAGGCAAATGATTCACAATGGAAGTGTAATCATCAGAACCAGGAGTGGAGCACTTCATGTAAAATGAAATACCTGCAGGAACAATTGGTAATAACAGAAGTCTTATTCAGTAAGATGAATGTAGTCCTCAAACCTGGATATTAGTTAGCACTTTAGCTTGTTTAGCTCGTCTTGCCGTCAAATGTTTATTATCAAAGGTTATTCAGCTTGATGAAATGTACACCAAATATTCAGAGTATAATAAGAAACTACAAAACACAAGAAATAAGTTCCAAGTTATTAAAAGTAACTGCTTTGGAGTGGTGCAGGAATGAGGCCTACAACATGGAATTTACCGTAGTTAGTATTTTAGCTTGTTTTGCTGAACTCTCAATCAAAGGTTTTCTGAATGTGTTTTTAGTTAGATGCCTGAATAAGGTCAGTGCTACACACAAGCTTAAGATCATTTTTGAGCTTTGTTCTATCATAAAATACATCAGTAAATACCCCACTGGTGAATGTCGAAAGCTTTTTGTCTTAGAAAACGTCTCCCGCAAAAATATTAGCCGCCCTTAGCTTAGTGAGGGGACATGAAGCCATGCAACTGTGATGTTTATAGCTTAACATGTTAAAATGGCGGCTTCTACAGAGGTTAGCTTTAGGGGTGCCCAACCAGTCGATCGCGATCGGGGAGATTCCCAGTCGATCGCGAGATGTTTCTAAAAATAGAACAACAATATTCTGTTTTATCGTTAACGTCCTATAACATAATATTCCTGTGCCAGAATAATGCACTTGAACGCATCAAAGCTTTGTGATTGGCCGGCGTGACCCCATGTGTCGGGGCGTGGCTGGTGGGCAGTGGGCATAGTTTGCTGACATTGTCCGTGTTCTCAAAACAGCAGTTCTCAGCAGTTCTCAAAACAGCAGCATCCAACCGTTAGATACCGTTATTAATCAGCTGTAAGTTTGAGTTTGTTTGAACTTATTCATTATAATTATTGGACAAAATGGTATAAGAATGCAAACTTAAATTGATTATAGTCTATTATCAATTCAGGTTAATAAACTAGTGTTGCTTGCATCCCATTTTAAAGGCATTTCTTTTTATACTCTAATAAAATGCAACACAAAAAGGGTTTGATTCTATTAATTTCGTCTTTTGTATTGCACTCTGGCAGCAGATTCCTGTGTAGCTTCAGATCTGAGTTGTTTTATTAGTAAGCCTCATTTATACTTTTGTAGCAACACTATTTTTATATAATGGCAAAGAAAGGGTTCAGAGTCTTTTCTTTTTCCCCTGTGTCATATGTGGCAGCACTGTTCAATGTTTCTTGAAAACATTACCCACTGTAGTGACGTGTGAATAAACACCAACTCTGTATCAACAACACTGTTGTGTAACTTCAGTTAAATACTTGTATGTGTGTAGATTAGAAAGAGGTAAGATAAAGGATCTGCAGTATTTTATGAAGTATTAATCGTACGAAGGTCAGTTTTATACAAGTAGAAGTGTGTATTTACCTGATAGTAGGCTGTCAGTAATGGCTACGCCTCTATTTGGACTGGTAGATCTCGGCAGACTGGCAACTTTAAAAGTAGCTCTCGGTTCAAAAAAGGTTGGGCACCCCTGGCTTAGATGCTACAATAGCATCAGTGATATTGGAAATGGAGAATATTTTTTCATTGAAGAAGAGCAAAGAACAACACTGAAGCCTTTTTTTCAAGTCAACATATGTTATTGCTCATCTACTGACTGGCTTCAGCAGTGTGTGATTGACAGATGGTTCATCCAATGACCTGCCGAGTGTTGTTTCCATGTTTCTTTATTGGCCGTTTCTAAGATGGTACAGTGGAACAAACAGGTTTTCGCATAATGAATAAATAATTGACAAAAGGATTATAAATGTGCATCATAGGTTACCATGGTGATCTAACCTGGTTAAAATTGAGCCCAAATAGCTAGCTGACCCTCTAATGGAGCTTCATAGAAAGGCCAACGGACTGTCCTGACTATTTACACCTCTCATGGGTCACCAGAAGAATGTTCCATGTCTGGTTGTCATTACCAGTCATCTTTTCAACACGTTCATATACATTTGGCCCCTGAGAGCTCATTAAATCACTGCAGCAGTGAAAAGCCGCCATAATGTGAAGAAAGCGGTTGACTGCTTAACAGTCAGAGGTTGCCAACTGCATTTGTTTATCTGCATGCATAATAAATAAGGAGATTTTGAAAGGGGTGTAATTGAAGCAGCAGGTCCTATGGGATTGCTGAAGGAATACACATTGAGAATATACAAGGATGTTAGATTTTTTTACACTGCTTTGAAAAGGTTGAGTTCACCCAAATGACATTAGTTTTAAGAGATGGTTTTATGAGTGCAGGTTTCCATCTCGGATATTTCTTCCTTGGGAATTGTTGACACAAAGCGAAGTTGAAATAAAGTCTAAAAACCCTGACAATAGTTTGTAAAGGCTGAACTGTGTTAGTGTTTTGGGGTTAGAAGTCTGATGTTTGTTCTTCAGAACAGCACATAAATATAGATCCATGCCTCATTTAGATCAAAGGCATTATTCACCTTCATTTCATTTCAAACCGTTATTTACCCAGGTGTATCCCTTGAGATCATTGATCTCTTTTTCAAGGGAGACCTGCTCAAGTAGGTTCCACATGAAACATAAAAACATAAACAGAACAAAAAGGACATTTTACAGCATCATTACAGGGATTACAATTTGCAATAACTATCCACATAAACAGGTACCAACAGCTTCTGATTGAGTAGCATCCAACCGAGCTTTAAAAACATTTAGTGGCACCAGATTGCTCAGTTTCCATTTCAATTGCAGACTATTCCAAGACAGAGGAGCTGCGCATCTAAAAGCTATCTTCCCTAAGACAGTCCCAGCAGTTGGCACATGAATGTGCTCAGAAGGCTTTATAGTAAGCTGTTGTAAGATGATGACATTATACCTTTTTGAATGATTGTGGTGCTCAGAAAGCTCATTGACTTTCTACAATTCATCTTAATGGTTTCTAATGTTGTGGCCAAATTAAACACATTCTTCAAGACGAGATGCATTTATTTGTTTAGCTTTTTGGAATATGTATCATCTCTGGTTGACTTTGTCCACTGATGTTCCTGTTGACTCTTACAATGAAAAAGTTGATAATATATGTGTTATGTTTTTCTGAAACTCAGGGTCTATCCTCAGGGGAGCACATGCTTTGTAAGGCTGTAATTAGGCACAGCAGTGGTGTTAACTAAATGATAATGTCAACATGAACACATGCTCACAAGGACAATGGGAAAAACCATTAGTTTATCGTTTTGTCATACCCTACTGGCGCTGTCCTTCGCTAAGGTTCCAAAGAAAGAAAGCAAAAACCTCAGCAAGCTACAAAATAATTTTTATTGAACAAGTAGCTTTAGTTAACTTGAATTGGTGCTTGCAATGCTTCTAGAGAAACCTTACTAACCTTGAATGGCGTAACGTAGCGGCCCTCTGGAGTCACATCTCCAGTCTTATTCAGTAGATTCTCCCGAGGGATCCTCACATTATGAAACATAGCAAACCTGAAGGGAAAAAGACAGAAAAGTAGGACATAGTAGAGTTTACATTGATGTGGCGTTTCATGAGTACTTTGCTCTTAATACCCGCCAAAGAACGCCAAACTTGTGACTTCAGGGACAGAATATGTGTGTTAGCTAAAACATAACACAAAAACACATATCATCAACTTTATAATATTGTAAGAGCCAATAGGAATATCCGTGGACAAAGTCACACCAGAGATGTATACATATTCCAAAAAGCTAAAAAAAATTAAACATTATGATGAATTTTCACATTACAACACATAATTACAAATAAACCAGGAAACTGTACTGACCCAACCATTATAATTTGACCAGCATTTAACAAAAGTAATTGTACTATTTTTCTTCTTTTTTTAATATTGCTGTACTATTATTAATATGTGCTTTGTAGAAAAGAGATCAATTTACTTTTAGAAGCAAATATATTAACAATCATAAAATCAAAGATCTATCAACTGCTTCCTTGCTAGATAGATCCCAAATAGATTACACTGAATTTTGTATTTTATGGGCAGAAATAAGTATGATATACTTCCATAAAAGAAACTTGAACCAAACAATATTTTAATTGGATTATTAACTTACACAAGCTGTATGATAGCCTATTTGGTATATTGCACTCCTTTGTGAAAATCTGAGCAGTGTTTTAGCATAAAATATTTCCTCTTTTTATGACATCCTTGTCATGTAAACTGTGACTATAGCTCCATCTAGTTACCTTACTCCCACTGCAGAACACGTTGCTGCTTTAAGTGAACAGTGGATGGTCTGAAGTGTGTAAGGTAGGGATAAGTGATGAAGATTGTCACTTGTCAAATGGCTGAAACCATTGGGTTCGTTTACAGGTTTGAACTATTTACGCAAGATCACGGCTGTTAACAGAGCAAAGTAGGGCAAAATACTAATGACTAATCTGAGCTGGAAACTGGGATACAGATAAAGAAAAAATAAGAGTGGAATTGAATAGACCCTGCTACATTGATCAACGTTGTACATGTTACAGGATTACATAATCAGGATACATTACAAAATATATATAATTGGGATTAATAGCAGGATTACAATGTGACAAATTACATTTCTAAACAAACATATCAATATATCATAGGCAGACGTGCTGCCTGAATTTCCTTTTTTGTATTCATTTAGGTTACTTTTATTTCTCCTTATTTTAAATGCCTTTTTTTATTAGACGCTGTAGGCCTGATTTATCAAACAAACTGTGTATGTTTTTAATTGAATCTCTCTTTGATCCTAAATATCTTGGTTCCCTCTTTTCCAAGGTTACGTTGTTTAGTTAAAAACACTTAACACTAGTAAAACCATGTTATTGAGGGTTAGGGTTTGATACTGAGGCAATTTAAAAGTAACCGAAACGTTCAGGTACATTGATTTTATGTTGTGAGACTGATGATACATTTTTTAAAGGAACCCTTCCAAACCCTTATAATCATAAAGAAACAAAGAAGCAGGATATAAAAGGTACTCACCTTGCGGTAAACCCGCGAGAGAGAAAGCGTTTGAGCTCCATACTGTTTCAGAAATAATGCTGGATGTGGTTTGGAAGCGTTTAGATGAGTATCTGGGAAGAATTCTCCTGCATGAGCTTCTTTAAAGCTACAGACTCAGAATCAGCAGTTTTCTAGCAGGGCTGAAATAGAGGGGGATGAGGCATGGCTACAATGGGTGGTCTGTTTGGTATTTTGAGCAAAACACTTCACAGACATGTTTTTTACATATCTGAGACCTATAATATATGCCTAAAAATAGTATAATAGGAGACCTTTAAGGTTACATTGTAATTTTATTTTAACATTGCACATTTGCAGGTTTCCCTTTAAAAATAGATCTATGATCTCAATGGGACCAATCTGGTTAAATAAAGGTTTGAAATTAAATGAAAATTCACCCCTGTCTAGACTAGAAAACAGTAGACGTGTGCATTGGATTGTAAAGTTTTGTATATTTACAGGGGCTGTTGCAAAAACCAAGTAGTTCAGAAACATTCTAAAATGAGGGGGCTTCCAAAAAAAGAAACACCTCACAGATTTGTTGACCTTTATTCGAATTATTATTTATTCCTGGTTCTGCCGCTGTATTTCTTGACGCAGTTCACTCGGTCCTCTGACCTTTGTCCAAAGTGAGTTCATCCCTGTGTCAGGGTTTCCGCTAGGATTTTTTCTCGCCGGTCAAATGTCCGGGCAGAATTTATTTTACCGGACAAATTAGAAACTTACCGGTCATATTTCAATAATAATAATAAGAGTTGTGTAGCAGAGTTTCCGTTAGCAGGTAATTACCGGACTATGAGCAGATATGCTGATGTTTAAAACTCAGTTCACGGGGCTCATTTTTATATTGCTTCAGTTTATAATCGTAACAGATCGAAACAAATTCAGATTCATTTTTCAATAAATGATTCCACAAACAACAAACAACATAATTACTACATTAAAACAAACTACTTGTAGTAGATGAAGTACATTATTCAAAAGTTTACATTAACTTTGAATAATCACAAGGGAGAAACGGATCCTCTCTCCCTCTCTCCTGACAGCCCGTCAGTTTCTCATGCAGCTCGCTAAACAGCGGGCGGGGCTTCAGGTGATTATGCACAGCTGCGTGTCTCGGTCTGACTCAGCAGCTGATCTGATCTCTCTCTCGCGTCCGGTTAAACTTCACTCGCGTTTATGTCCATATCGATCAGATCCAGCTCTCCTGATCGGGCTTTATAGAGAGCACCGATCAATCTATTAAGAGTGAATATCGGCCGATAATGACCTGCGGCCGATCTATCGGAGCATCCCTAATTATTACCAGACATTTTGACCAGCAGGTTTTGAATTTACCGGTTTTTAATAAATGTTGCAGCTAAAAACCGGTAATTACCGGCTAACGGAAACCCTGCCCTGTGTGCTAGGGGTGATTGGCCTGCTTTGTCCTTCTGTAGACTTCACTTTGGCATTTCTCTATCTTTATTTATGAGACACTTTTGAACTTAACCTTTATATGGCTGCTGTCACCTACCCGTTGTCCAGTCCGTTCTGGCCCAGCTTCTTGCCCATATCTCCAACCACCACGCCGGGCAGAGCGAGCAAGGTCTTGATATTTCTCACCTGCACAACAATGGTTATAGTCACACTGCAGTGTTAGTACAGTGTGTGACAGTGTGATAATTGATACATCAGAATGTAAATAAATTGTACATTTTCCTCTCTGTGGGACGAACATATTCAAACCCATTTCTCCCACAATGTCGCATGACTGCTTTCACCTCTAACATGTCACTTAAAGGTCCCATGTCATTTCTACTGATCATAATCCCATTGTTGAGGTCTACTAGAATATATTTACATTGTTCAATGTTCCAAACTCACATTGGTTTCTCAAACAGCATCTTTGTATAGTATGTGTATTCACTCTCCGTCCTACACGGCTTGTTGGAGCTCCTGCCCCCCCCCCCCTCCCTGTGAGCCCACTGTGCTCTGATTGGTCAGCTCGTCCACTCTGTTCTGATGAGTCCACCACCGTTACAGCGGAACATCAGTAATTATGTGTTACAATGGCGTTTGTTTGCAACCAGGAAATGACACCAGTAATGACAAACAGATGAGAATGCTGCGTGGGGTCTGGGTGCCGTGTTGGAGGGACGTTGCAGGGCTCGCTGCTGTGAGGAGCGGACAGTGTGAGCTGGATTACTGGTGTCGTTTCCTGGTTGCTGCGTGGGGTCTGCGAGACATTGCGGAACTCAGCCTGAGCACACACATACACTCACAGCCAGGCTGTTCGCCACACACTCACAGCCTGAGAAAAGATAAGGCTGTGTGTGTGTGTGTGTGTGTGTGTGTGTGTGTGTGTGTGTGTGTGTGTGTGTGTGTGTGTGTGTGTGTGTGTGTGTGTGTGTGTGTGTGTGTGTGTGAAGACTGAGGAGCTCCACGGATTGGTCCATTTGGTCGTCGTTACGTCACTTAGACCAGGAAGAAAACAATGGAAAATGAGAAATGTCCAACGAGGCGTTCTGGGGCAGCACAGACAGGTCTTCTCTGTGTTAAGAGTTTTACTCCCTACAGGGTGCACTTTGAGGGTTTGTGACTCTGCAGACCGTTCACATGCAGAAAAACCTTCATAACACACAAGGGGACGGGTAATAACCGGACAAGCATGACATGGGACCTTTAACACTGGAACATGTTTTTTTTATAACTAGACTTTCGTACAGATCTTACAAAACAACCTACTTATTACGTGGGACCTGTCTCCAGTACGACCACTTCAAATACAATTTCAACTTCTTTCACCACTAAAACGTCAGCTTACACTTCAACTGGTCTCAGTCTGTTCTTTTTAGGCGTTTTTGCCCCTGTTGGCCACCGTAGAAAGACGATACCTCAAAGACTAAAGGTGAAAACAAGCAAACAACTAAATGAAATGTACCAATTAATAAAAGCATGCAAATGTCACACTTCCAAACCTCAAGTCATGTCCCTGCTTGCAAGCAAACTACTTCCTAATTGTTAGTGCAAAAGATTCTCTCTCTTTTTGATCCATTTCTATAAAAACCTGTCTGAAAATGAGCTGATCAGATTTTGGCCACTTTGTGATGTCATAACAGGTTTTTGGGTTGTGCAACGATTAGCCAATCACCAACCAAGGTAACCCCCCCCCCCCCACCATTTCACTTGAATCTCCTCCTAGAGCACCATTGTGTTTTTTAAGACAAACACTTTGCAGAGGGGCGTGGCCAGCAGCAGCTCATTAGCATTTAAAGCTATAGACCCAGAATCAGCACTTTTTAAACAGGGCTGAAACAGAGGGGATTATGGGATGCTACAATTCATGATCTGTTTGGTATTTCAGCCAGCAACACGTCAGAGACATGTTCTGTTTATATCTAATATATTGTTGAAAAATAGTATAATAGGGGACCTTTAAATTCCATGACTCTTTAATACAGTAAAGCATCCAGCTCAGGACATAACAATGGTGGAGATGATGGATGCATAATGTGTAAAGGAAATCCTGAAATCCTAAATTAGAATAGGTTATGTTGGTCATATCAACCAGTTTTTAGATTACAGCTGCGTTACAGATAAGAGTATCTGCAGCTGTAACCAGTTCAGGGTTTAGGGTATTACCTGCACAACGAAGGAGTGCAGCCCTTGGCACACCTGGTCCGGTGTGAACAGCTGGGCGTACACCAGAGCGTGCGTTGCCGTCTTGCCAAGATTCCCCACCCAGAACTTGGCAGCTTCAAAGTCTGGAGAGTTGATCACAAACTCCTACAGGGAAGAAAGGTAAAGAAGGTTCGAGTGTAACTAGGATTGTAGCCAGAGAGTTAGAAATGCTAACAATTAACAAGTTAACAAGAAGGATTAACAAGAGCGTTACATTAAATGAAATATTAATGACAAAAAGAAAAATGTTGAAAGTTGAATGATTTGTGTTGTTTTTGGAAATATTTTCAACATAAAACATTTTGTGGTTTGCTAATTTCTCACAATACATCCCACATACAGGTAAACCAGCATTGTTGGCAGTAAAAGCAAAGTAATCTATACACACAAAATTAAACTCTATTTTTCCTACGTGACTATTAATCCAGGGTTAGTTCCAAGCACAAGGGTTTGAAAGTCAGGATTAGCCCCACCCCCCAGGTAAAGTCGCCAGGACATAAAGGATGTGACGCATATTTAAGTATAAAATATTGAGACTTTATTTCAGTGTCACAGGATCACCTCAAACTCCATGTCACATTGTCCACCGTGCAAAATAAACAATAATAGCCTTTATTTGATTGTTTTGCTGCATGTGGCTAAAGAACCGCAGGTTGCCTACCCCTGTACTTAGAACTAAGTGTGTCTGGAGCTTTGCATTAATCTATTTAATTAAGCAAAGATAGGTCAAAATAAGGTAAATGCTATTTCCCTATGTAATGGTCGAAAGCCATGTTAACAAGTCAGGGGGTCACAGTGTAATACTAGTAATTCTGTTGGAGTACCTTTTGTAAAAGTGCTATATAAATAAAATGTACTTCCATTTGTACCCTTCCCATGGAGGTAATGTTTTTTGAGCCAGATTTGTCTTGTTTGTTTTTGTTTTTCTGTCAGTGTGATAATAGATACACTACTACATGTGTATACCAGCGTGCAGCATTTACCAAGGAAAAGGTTGGCTGAGGTGAGGTCAAGAGGTTTCATTGTTTAGCAGTGAGTAGTGACTATGCTGATTTATGTCAAACAGTTGCAACCCGCAAAATAAAATGAAAAAGGAAGAAGGGAAAGCACCCTTTTATTAAACAACTTGACTTTTGTTTAAGCATTGTGGCTTTTATTCTGTCATATTGCCATGTAAACACACTTTTTTTTTCTTTGTGTGTGGTGCGTTCACTGACCTGAGTGGAGGGGTCATAGGTCGCTGTGGTCCTCATGGCTCTGGTGTTGCTGCCATGGCTCAGCTCCGTCAGTGCAAAGCATCCAAATGTCTAAAAAAAACAACAGATAGAAGACGTTACAAATCCTGCGTTCATGGTGATGAAGATGAATAAATACAACACCAGGGTTTCCCACACAGACTATATTTGGGCGGCGATCGATTAACTTGTGGACAATGATCCCTCGCTCTACGCCTCCTGTACCCAGTCCCGGACTGGCCATCGGGAGGACCGGGGTCTGGCCTGTTAAGTGGCCTGCCTCAAACAGGGGGACTGGCTGTCTCCATGATGTGGTCTGCCTCACACATGGTGACTGGCTGTCTACATGATGTGGTCTGCCTCACACATGGTGACTGGCTGTCTACATGATGTGGTCTGCCTCACACATGGTGACTGGCTGTCTACATGATGTGGTCTGCCTCACACAGGGTGTACTGGCTGTCTACATGATGTGGTCTGCCTCACACAGTGTGACTGGCTGTCTACATGATGTGGTCTGCCTCACACAGGGTGACTGGCTGTCTACATGATGTGGTCTGCCTCACACAGGGTGACCGGCTGTCTACATGATGTGGTCTGCCTCACACAAGGGGACTGGCTGTCTACATGATGTGGCCTGCCTCACAGGGGGACTGGCTGTCATGATGTGGTCTGCCTCACACAGGGTGACTGGCTGTCTACATGATGTGGTCTGCCTCACACAGGATGACTGGCTGTCTACATGATGTGGTCTGCCTCACACAGGGGGACTGGCTGTCTACATGATGTGGTCTGCCTCACACAGGATGACTGGCTGTCTACATGATGTGGTCTGCCTCACACAGGATGACTGGCTGTCTACATTATGTGGTCTGCCTCACACAGGGTGACTGGCTGTCTACATGATGTGGTCTGCCTCACACAGGGGGACTGGCTGTCTACATGATGTGGTCTGCCTCACACAGGGTAACTGGCTGTCTACATGAAGTGGTCTGCCTCACACAGGGGGACTGGCTGTCTACATGATGTGGTCTGCCTCACACAGGGTGTACTGGCTGTCTACATGATGTGGTCTGCCTCACACAGGGTGTACTGGCTGTCTACATGATGTGGTCTGCCTCACACAGGGTAACTGGCTGTCTACATGATGTGGTCTACCTCACACAGGGTGACCGGCTGTCTACATGATGTGGTCTGCCTCACACAGTGTGACTGGCTGTCTACATGATGTGGTCTGCCTCACACAGGGGGACTGGCTGTCTACATGATGTGGTCTGCCTCACAGGGTGACTGGCTGTCTACATGATGTGGTCTGCCTCACACAGGGTGACTGGCTGTCTACATGATGTGGTCTGCCTCACACAGGGTGACTGGCTGTCTACATGATGTGGTCTGCCTCACACAGGGGGACTGGCTGTCTACATGATGTCATACAGATCATAAATCAAAGCCCTAGATTGGTCTCTGTGTGTCATTCAAGCTCGGGATAACCTCAGCTCAGGTGAGGTAAAGGACTCTCTGAGTGTTTAGATAGTTAACTTAGTCTAAGTTCTCAGTGGGTCTCAAACGGTTTGGTCACCATTTATGTAAACATATATTTCCATTTGAGAGGGTAGTGATCAGAGATGGGGTCGTTACTAAAAAAAAGTAATATATTACTTATTACATATTACTTTAAAAAATATATGTAATATATTACACTACTTCGTAACTCATTACTTTACTCGCAGGGCCGGCCCGCCCCTCCCTTCAGGCAGATCACGCAGACTGCGGCGCACCTACAGTGTAAGCGCGCCACAGTTTTGCCTCTGCGAGACTCCACTTGCACCCCAATTACTATTGCAATAAGGAAGACATAACACAAGTCTTTCTTTTTATATGCTCTTTAATAAAATAGGCTACCAGCCACACAACAAGCTAACAGTCTGTGAAACTTAAAGAGCATTTCAAGAGAAACATTGTAATAACGGAACAAGTGGGCCATATCAATGTGATGTGACACTGGCAAAATAAACAAATACTTTACAAATAAATAGCCTGTATAAAACAAAATAAGAGGTTGGCCTTGATAACACATTAAATACACAAATATTGATTGCCTCAACAAAAAAAAGACCTATCAGCAAATAGCCTAAAGGCTAATGAAAAAGAACACAACCTAAAGCATGAGCTTCATTAATTGAACAGTAAGCTAAAAAATATACAATATAGTCAACATGGCCTTTTAACATCATTAATAACAATCAAAAGCGAAAATAGGCCAAAGTGGCATTGGCTGTGAACATAGGCCACACTCCCTCTCATGATCTCAGACTGAACACTTCACACTTATTTGATGTGTTTGTCACTGAAGCAGTGGTTATACCGCATTAGGAGGAGTCTCTCAAATAGTTTATCGGATAACCGATTTCTTCTTGGTGTTAGCACAAGACTGCCTAGGCTGAAAAGCCTCTCAACCGGCGCACTCGATGGGGTAGCGGTGTTGTATTTCAGGAAGATGCGCTTTATATTAGGGAAACGGCTCAAGACTGCCAGCTCTGACCCCGACTTAAAATAGGTTCCTAAATACATTTACCATTTTTTTAAATAGTAACCCATGTCCATATGTTTATGTGTAGGTAGTAGATTTAAACTATAGGGCTATCACTATGGGCCCTGCCTAACAAGCGACCAACAGAAAGGTTAATGTTGTTGAACTCTTACCGTCATGTCTTTTGTGTTTTCAACAAATGTACTGTGTCTCTGTGATCCTGAGCCAGCAACATTCATTCCAAACATCTGAAACAAAAATGGTTTTAGCTTCTATTACTTACACTATAATTTAAGATGGAAAGAAAAGGCTACAACAATGCTAGCAGTTACAACATACCAATAAAGTGTGTGACGGATACAAAATAATGTAACTATATATAAGGCGCGTTCACACCGGAGTACTTTTCCCGTTTAGTTCCGATAGTGCCTGGAATTTTGCATTCACACCAAATAGAGAACTTAGTTCCGAGAACTTTTACCCCCATTTTCAGTCCCTGCTAGAGAGGTGGTACTATCCTGGGGAGAAAAAAGTACCAATTTCGATTGGCTGGGCAAATTGCAAACCACGCCCCCGCCAGTAAACCCAAAGCAGAAGAAGAAGAAGTGACGTCAGCGGCTTCATTTGCCTAATCCTCCCTCAGGGACTTATTCCGGTGTGAACATGATCGGCTCTATAGTTCCATGGGGGAACTAAGTGCTGGGATCTAAGTGCTGGGATCTAAGTGCTGGGATCTAAGTGCTGGGATCTAAGTGCTGGGATCTAAGTGCTGGGATCTAAGTGCTGGGATCTAAGTGCTGGGATCTAAGTGCTGGGATCTAAGTGCTGGGATCTAAGTGCTGGGATCTAAGTGCTGGGATCTAAGTGCTGGGATCTAAGTGCTGGGATCTAAGTGCTGGGATCTAAGTGCTCGGATCTAAGTGCTGGGATCTAAGTGCTGGGATCTAAGTGCTGGGTACTAAGTACTGGGAACTAAGTGCTGGGAACTAAGTGCTGGGAACTAAGTGCTGGGAACTAAGTGCTGGGAACTAAGTACGGCAAAGTACTTGGTGTGAAAGCGGCTATAAATTTCAAGAGGCCCTATTATGCTTTTTGGGTTTTCTCTTTACAGTAGTGTGTTCTACAGGTTTTTGTGCATGTAAATGGTCTGCAAAGGCTAAAATCTCTGTGTTCCTTCCAGAGGCAGTTTCTCTCCCACACACTGCCGATGCACACTCACCCCTTGGTTGAGAAAGTACTTGGCCCCCATGGCCCAGTCATACATGCCCAGACAATCATTGAGAACCACAGTCTTCCAGGGGTTAGACATCGCCTCTTCTTCTGTCAGGAAGTTGTATCGAAAGAGCTGCTTCACCCTGTAAATGTGTATCTGACGCTTTAGTTTGTATAGATTAGGATATGATGGAGGGTGTTAGTAATGGAAATATGTTGATACCTCAGGAAGGTCAGCTCTCTCATTTTCTCCAAAGAGACGTCTTCACCAGGAAGGCGTGCAAACAGGGGGTCGTCCTCAAGTGTCTTCCACAAATTGTGCTGCAACAGAAAAAAAGGGTGTAATGCACAGAGGAGCATTTAGACGACATCAAGTACAAAACATTTTATAACTAGAACAAAAGAAAATCTAGTAAAAGAAAAAATACATTTTTTATTTTTATTTGGCTTGTATCAAAGTATCATCGCAGTTTGGGTGCTGGTAAAGTACATTTGCTTTGCAAAAATAAAAGGGCACCCTATTGACTATTATAATAAAGATGACACTTTTAAACACTTCATTTTAAAATAACAGAGGTCGAGAGATGTATGGGGAAAATGGCAGGTGTTGGTTGCAATGCTATTTTGAACAGGTGAAAATGAATCCACGTTGCTTAGAGCTGGGCTTTTCAAAGTGTGGTAAGGTGAGCCTCCCCTCAGAGAACATAAGAACAGCCGTGCCCCCCTCCCAATTATTATTGCTATTATTATTATTATTATTATTGTTGCTGTTGCTGTTATAAAGCAGGGGTATTCAATTGCATTTCAAAGAGGTCCAGTAAGAGAAAATGTCATTAAATGCTCTGTTTTCGCTGTCTACCTTCCGCCATTTGAAATGACTCCGACTGTTTCTCTCCTCTTGTCTCGTCTCTGTGTTTGAATCTATCGTGCTGACTCACTGACTGCACCCATTTGATTGGCTGAGTAGTGTCACCTCCTTAAAACATTGAACAATATATTTTTTAAACCTTTTTATCTTTATGTTTTAAACATATTGTATAAAACTCCCCCACGACTTGGACTTTTCCTTGCACCCCTCTAGAATAAGCCTGAATGGTCTCAACCATATTGCATCAGTAACGTGCACTTGTTGTTATAACAAGATCGCAAGGACACCGGTAGCGATCGGACAATTGAGTGTTGTTCAGTTTGTGTGCTGTGGAACATGCGTGTTACAATTTGTTTAAAGGCTATTTGATAACAAGTCGGCAGCTGCGAGCCTTTATTAAAATGCTCACGACTATCCGACTATATGTAGGCCTAAAGCTGAAGAACATTAAATAAACATTTTTGTTTATTACATTATGGCTTGCGTAATATAGGCTATATTTATTTATTTTCAGTTACGCACGATATTGGCAGAACTTGTTTGAACTTTTATTAAAAGTTACTTTTCAATAAGATACATCTGAAAGATTTGATTATTTCATCCTTAATATAGAGTTGTTAACAATTTGTTTTAAAGCTCAATAAAAAACAAAGAAGAGCTTTGACCGGGAAATTTCCAATTTGTCCGGAAGATTTCAATCCTAACGGACAGGGTGACCGGCACACATTTTATCTAACGGGAACTCTGACATGCGTGTGCGTGCATGAAAATATACCACACACCCAATTACAATTGCATGTTCAATTCACTTCCCTGGAAGTTAATACAGTTGTTGAAGTTGGAGCAGCCTGTGGACAGCCGTTCTTCCTCGCATGTCAGTCGCCGACACCTTCTGACAGAGGACAGGCACATCTAGCTGCAGCACGACCTGTACATTTTCGCACGCCGTGTTCTCAAACACATATCTTTTTAACATTTTCAACATCGTGGATACATCCTTATTTGCTCCCGGCAACACACTGAACGAAACTTTGCCTCCTTATTACACTCAGCCTACTTTAGTGGGAACAATGAGTCTGCGTCTTTGAAGCACACAGGAATAACGCAGATCATCCTCTGGCTGCAGCCGACCGGCAATCTCACAGGTAGTAGAGGTGAAGGGAATGAGCACTCTCACAGGCAGGTGGAGGTGGAGGTGAAGGGAATGAGCACTCTCACAGGTGGGTGGAGGTGAAGGGAATGAGCACTCTCACAGGTAGGTGGAGGTGAAGGGAGTGAGCACTCTCACAGGTGGGTGGAGGTGAAGAGAGTGAGCACTCTCACAGGTAGGTGGAGGTGAAGAGAGTGAGCACTCTCACAGGTAGGTGGAGGTGAAGAGAGTGAGCACTCTCACGGGTAGGTGGAGGTGAAGGGAGTGAGCACTCTCACAGGTAGGTGGAGGTGAAGGGAATGAGCACTCTCACAGGTAGGTGGAGGTGAAGGGAGTGAGCACTCTCACAGGTGGGTGGAGGTGAAGAGAGTGAGCACTCTCACAGGTAGGTGGAGGTGAAGAGAGTGAGCACTCTCACAGGTAGGTGGAGGTGAAGAGAGTGAGCACTCTCACGGGTAGGTGGAGGTGAAGGGAGTGAGCACTCTCACGGGTAGGTGGAGGTGAAGGAAGTGAGCACTCTCACAGGTAGGTGGAGGTGAAGGGAGTGAGCACTCTCACAGGTAGGTGGAGGTGAAGAGAGTGAGCACTCTCACAGGTGGGTGGAGGTGAAGGAAGTGAGCACTCTCACAGGTAGGTGGAGGTGAAGGGAGTGAGCACTCTCACAGGTAGGTGGAGGTGAAGAGAGTGAGCACTCTCACAGGTGGGTGGAGGTGAAGGGAGTGAGCACTCTCACAGGCAGGTGGAGGTGAATGGAGTGAGCACTCACAGGTGGGTGGAGGTGAAGGGAGTGAGCACTCTCACAGGTAGGTGGAGGTGAAGGGAGTGAGCACTCTCACAGGTAGGTGGAGGTGAAGGGAGTGAGCACTCTCACAGGTAGGTGGAGGTGAAGGGAGTGAGCACTCTCACAGGTAGGTGGAGGTGAAGGGAGTGAGCACTCTCACAGGTAGGTGGAGGTGAAGGGAATGAGCACTCTCACAGGTAGGTGGAGGTGAAGGGAGTGAGCACTCTCACAGGTAGGTGGAGGTGAAGGGAGTGAGCACTCTCACAGGTAGGTGGAGGTGAAGGGAGTGAGCACTGTCACAGGTAGGTGGAGGTGAAGGGAATGAGCACTCACACAGGTAGGTGGAGGTGAAGGGAGTGAGCACTCTCACAGGTAGGTGGAGGTGAAGGGAATGAGCACTCACACAGGTAGGTGGAGGTAAAGGGAGTGAGCACTCTCACAGGTAGGGTGGAGGTGAAGGGAATGAGTACTCACACAGGTAAGGTGGAGGTGAAGGGAGTGAGCACTCTCACAGGTAGGTGGAGGTGAAGGGAGTGAGCACTCTCAGCAGGTAGGGTGGAGGTGAAGGGAGTGAGCACTCTCACAGGTAGGGTAGAGGTGAAGGAGTGAGCACTCTCACAGGTAGGTGGAGGTGAAGGGAGTGAGCACTCTCACAGGTAGTGGAGGTGAAGGGGAGTGAGCACTCTCACAGGTAGGTAGAGGTGAAGGGAGTGAGCACTCTCACAGGTAGGTAGAGGTGAAGGGAGTGAGCACTCTCACCAGGTAGGTGGAGGTGAAGGGAGTGAGCACTCTCACAGGTAGGGGGAGGTGAAGGGAGTGAGCACTCTCACAGGTAGGTAGAGGTGAAGGGAGTGAGCCTCTCACAGGTAGTGTAGAGGTGAAGGGAGTGAGCACTCTCACAGGTAGGTGGAGGTGGGGGAACTCGGTCTCCACAGACAGCCAAAAGTGTGTAAGTGACACTTATTACTCGTCTTTTCTCGTTATTCTTTTCTCACGCTGCGCCTCCCCTGAAGCTCTCTGGCGCCCCCCAGGGGAGGCGCGCCTCACACTTTGAAGACCGCTGGCATAGAGTATCTCTAAGATGATAATAGGGACTGATACATGCAGATCTTTTCTACAGAGAGATGTAGAAGCTGACAGCTACACAGTACCTTGAATGCCACGATCTCCTCTCCCTCCAAGAAGAGAGCATGTCCTTCCAGTTGAAAGAGGATTTCTTCCTGTACACATCCAGCGGGCCATTGGGGAGGTCAGCCACTTCATGAGCCATCGTGTTGTATTCAGGCTGACAATATCCACTTTAAAAAGGGGAAAAAACAAGTAATTGGTTTCTCATGTTTTTGGCAATGCGGCAATATTCCACCACTACTGTGTCTCTTTGTCGACATTTAGTTTATCAAGAACTTCATTAATTAGCTCATACGTCACTCAAAATGAGCTCTACCTTTACCAGTTGTGATGAAAATACATGAATAATCATATTAGTAACTCAGTATACAATTCTGAAAAGGGCCAATACGGTATTTTTGGTATTTTAAGTGTTTAATTGTTATGGCAATACTCTTTTACTTTTACTAAAGTAAGATTTTGAATGCAGGACTTTTTAATTAGGACAAAGTACATATAACATGTAGTATTGCTACTTTTCTTAAGAATACATCTGAGTACTTCTCTCCACCACTGGAATCATAGTACACATGTAGTAGGTTCCAGTTAAACTAAACTTAAACAACAAATAGATTCAGTGGTGTCAGGTAACTAAGTACATTTACCCAAGTACAATTTTGAGGTACTTTACTTTATTATTTCAATATTGTTGCTACTTTGTAAAGGTAATAGGTGAATGGTGTACTTTTACTCCACTACATGTATTTAATACCTTTAGTTACTTCACAGATCTGGATGAATGATGTGAAATATAATCAAGTGTTGAATCAGACTTTAGTTCCACCTGGAGTAAATCCACAAGCTACCCTGCAGTATACAAAGTCATTCAAACTAGCTGCACCTTCACCAGCTTTGAGAACACTTTCATGATCAATCATTATAAAACATATCATATATATTATTCTGAAATGGACCAATCTGCACAACGACTACTTTTACTGTCGCTACTTTCACTATATTTTGATGAGAATACTTTTCTACTTTTACATGGATAACATGCAAGAAATGTACTTTTAACAGAGTATTCCTACACTCTGGTACTTCTCCCAACTCTGCAAAACACCATGTAGATTCAGTGTTATCTTCCCAGGAAATCAAAGCAACCTTTATAGTTGAGCTGCTCAGTTCAAAGTCTCTGGAAGCTGTTTCACTGGACGATAGTAATATCAGGGTGTATAAAGGTGGACTGTTATTAAACCCTGCCATTTCCCACTGTCCCAGAATAGCTAACATATTAAAGTATAGGTGGTTACTGTTAAGTCATCTGACAGCCCTGACTCGGTAGTGTTTCTCCACTATTACCTTACAAAACAATGTGTTGTTCCAATGTAGTCACAGCGTTACAGTGGTATATAACTGAAGAATTAGTAAATAGTTTACATAATAATTTGTGTAGCTATGTCTTAACCTTCAGCTTACCCTGTTAATGTCGCCCACTCGTTCGTTTTCTTCCGCTGTTATACAACTAGTGTGACAGTAGCTGTGTAACCTTTATGCAGCCATGCTAGCATAACAACAACCATTTCCTGAATGTACCCTTCAAAATAAAAGCACCATGTTCACACGGTTATTGAATGTGAACCTTCAGAATAAGAGTACAAACGTGTGTTTGTTATTACATAAAACAAATGTGCAAAAAGGACTGTTCTGTATATTTAAGCCGTTCAAACTGTGTCTGTATTTCAGCGTGAAAGACCGAGTTGCTGAAACGCTTTAGCCTGAATCGCGTTTCCGGTCCAATTACTTCAGTTTTTCATGGTTTCTCTTTATCGATCAATTTTTCATGACAAGGTTTCTTCGTATTATTTGCTCACTTTTGCCAAACTAAAAATGTAAGTTTAAGAACTAATATTTTACTGAAAGAAATAGATGATGGAGCGACTAAGGCAAACCTTGTATGCGGAATCATGCATGTATTCTTAAAGTGAGACCTACATAACACAATTGTAGTCCAATAAATATAAAATCTTGAAATGACTTTGTTACACAACTAGGACCCACCTCTTTGTATAGAATTATACTAACTGTTCTATTTCATTTAGGTATTGTTATGAAAATGTAGCAGAAATGTGTCATTTATTTTCTATTGCTTCAATGTCACATCAGGGGCGTTTCTCTTGGCCTTGAAACATTCGGGGCTTAGCCCACAGTTCATTAAAGGTACATTAAAGAGCCTGTGACAGCCACCCAACAACTGTTGTGCAATGAAATATTGGGCTACTAGTAATCTCGAACCGTCAGTTTAAAAAATAAAAAGCGATACCGTTTCCGATAAATATCAATAATTTCGAACATCGCGGGGAAATTCCTTCGACTCATTTTGAGGATTTGGGAGAAGCCGGAAGTGACGTCAATGCGGGAATGTTTCACTGTGCGGCGAGAGATCCAAACACGGACAAAGTGTGCTGTCATGCGTAAGAATGGTTCGACGATGCGTTGTGTCTGGGTGTTCCAATACAGCAAATGGCGAACTAAACATCAGCATCCATAGCTTTCCCACAGATGTCAAGTGTCAACGCACAATGGGAGAAAAAACGTGCAGAACACAGAGGGCCAAATGGTCTGTGAAGAACCCCCGACGACCTACATGCAGTGCCCACTTTCTGCCCGATGATTTCGAGGAAAGGCCTATATTGATGGTTGGAAGTGGGATAGATGTAACGCGAAAACGGATTCTGAAGCCGTCAGCAGTGCCTACTCTCTTTCCCACGCCGTCGCAAATCCGTCAAGGCACCGGAGACTTTGCCACCACCAACGCCACAGAAGTGCCTACTTCGAGAAACGAGAGAAAACTCAGGTAAAAACAAATACTTTGATTCAGTTTAGCAATCGTGTAACTTGAATAATTCCTGATGTAATAATTGTAATGTAAATGTCACCCTTGTGCTTGTAGGTTTTGGATTATCTCCTAAAGCCACGGTTGACAGCTGATGGTGCATTAGCTGCACATGCTTCAACTGCATGCAGTGATGCATCAGATAATCCCATGCAAGAGACGCCAGGCACTATGACCTCTGCATGCCAAACTGATCCAGTAAAGGAGAAGAAAAAGCCACAGAGGAGCAAAGGGGTTCAAACTAAGCTGCGAGAAAAGACAACAGGTCAGTTATTATTATTATCAGTCATTATCAGTTACAACATTAAGTGCATATGTGTGTCCAGTGGTCTCTGCATTGTACAATCCCTCTGCGCTATGATGCCTCATCGAGAACCAAGTTATATTCATTCTGTTCCTGTCCCTCTATTATAATACCACCTACATTATATGATTTTCTTGGTGCGGGTAAGGTCTTATAATGGAGGGACCACTCACCAGTGTAATCCAATTATGCATATACATATATAGTACAAAGCATATCAAGTTTATAAATCAAAGGAAGATGAATTTGGCAATGCATAGGATTTATGTATTAAATTACCGAGTCAAAATAATGGTTTTTGGGAGGGAGGGGGTATGTAGATGATAACATAATTCAATAACAACGTTTCCATCTCATAAAATCGTACATGTATATACATGTATCACAGCATGTCAAGTTTGGCGAGAAATGTATATTGAACTATTAGGCCAAATATACGTGGACCCTGGCAAATAAGCCTAAAATGCAAGTGGCATCATTTTCCAAAATAAGTCACACTCTAAGTACTTCCATATCATTTGCACATGCTTGTATTTCTGTAAACTGGACTGTCTATTACCTTCTTTTTTTTAAACCTTTATTTATACAGATAAATCCCATTGAGATCATTGATCTCTTTTCCAAGGGAGACCTGCTCAAGTAGTTCCACATGAAACATAAAAACATAAATAGAACAACAAAAGGACACCATACAGCATAATTTACATAATTATCCACATAAACAGGTACCAATAGCTTCCGATTGAGTAGCATCCAACCGAGCTTTAAAAACATTTAGTGGCACCAGATTGCTCAGTTTCCATTTAATTTGCAGACTATTCCAAGACAGAGGAGCTGCACATCTAAAAGCTGTCTTCCCTAAGACAGTCCTAGCAGTTGGCCCATTTAATAAAACCACAGCATTCGATCTCAGGCAGTAGCCACTTACAATTTTCCGTGAGATCAGGGAGCAGATGTAGGATGGAAGTTTCCCTAACATGGCTTGTATATAAAAATGTACCAGTGACTGAGCCTCTGTACAGTTAGTGAAAGCAAACCAGCCCTTGCATACAGGGTACAGTGATGGGTTAATGCTTTACAGTTGTCACAAATCTCAGTGGCACTGTGATACGCAGCATCTAACTTGACCAGGCAATTGGCAGGTGCATTCATATACATCAGATCACCATAGCCAGCACAGGTCAAAAGGTCACAGAGCCTTTTCCTGGCCTCAAGCGAGAAACGGGACTTGTTCCTGTAGAAGAAACCTAGCCTAACCCTCAGTTTTTTAAGCAGGTTATTGACATGAAGTTTAAAAGTGAGACAGTCATCAAGCCAGATACCAAGGTATTTCTAACAGGTAACCACTTCAAGTACTTGTCCTTGCATAGTAACAATATCTAAAACAGGCTCTGGTGTCTTTTTAGCTTTAGAAAAGAGCATTACCTTGGTTTTCTCAACATTTAAAAGAAGCGTTAGTTCAGAGAGCTGAGTCTGAATAATGTTAAAAACAGTCTGTAATTTAACACCAGCCTCCTTAATGGAGGGACCTGCACAGTACATCACGGTATTGTTACAACCTGCAACAAGGCTGGAACAAATAGGGAGGCCACACAGAGTTATATGCCAAATATCTGTTTATTTAACAGGTTATAGAAAAACACCTCTGATGAATAGTGTATGTACGAATCAGTAGTGATGGCAGTTTGACACTGAAGCTTCGAACGGAGCTTCAACCCTGGACTTCCTATTCCATAGAAGCAGTGCTTCGAAGCTTGCTTCAAATCACGTGACATATGACGTCCGAAGCAGCAACTGCTTCAAATCACGTGACATGTGACGTCCGAAGCAGCAACTGCTTCATTTCCTGAATGAATCACTTGACTGGTTCACGGTCCATTCACGCGATTCAATGCACTGCCCTCGTCTCGATTCTGACAGGTTGAAACAGTTTCAAACTTGAGTGCTTCAACACTTTATGACC